AATTTATTTAAGAAAATTCTACGAAGACCAACTGTTGCTGAGATCATTTTCAATCAACATCTATCACAACTATGATACCCTATCAAATATATCGAAAACACTTAAATTATATCAAACAAATCAAATACATCGAAAAACACATCAAATACATCGAAAAACACATCAAATTCATGAAACACATCAAATACATCGAAAAACAGATCAAATACATCAAACAGATCAAATGCATCGAAAAACACATCAAACAGATCAAATACATCGAAAAACACATCAAACAGATCAAATACATAGAAAAACACATCAAACAGATTAAATACATCGAAAAAGACATCAAATACATCAAACAGATCAAATACATCGGAAAACATCAAATACATCAAACAGATCAAATACATAGAAAAACACATCAAACAGATCAAATACATCGAAAAAGACATCAAATACATCAAACAGATCAAATACATCGAAAAAGACTTCAAATACATCAAACAGATCAAATGCATCGAAAAACATCAAATATATCAAACAAATCAAATACATCGAAAAACCATGTATTGTTTGTTTCATGGGTGAATACTTTCTTTTGCCCGGCAAGTTTTATGAAAGTCAATTACCATGGCAGTTATTCAAAATATGCCCCAAGCCATATTAATGTAATTCCACATACATCAAACAGATCAAATACATCGAAAAACATCAAATACATCAAACAGATCAAATACAACGAAAAACACATCAAATATACTCAACAACAAAAGTTCCTGTGACACCAGTATTTTTGTGTATTTTTCAAACAAGTAAAGTTTGGTTTTCAATATTGTAGTACATGTATGGAATCAAGTCACAAAAACGCAACTGCTACAGAAAAGCATGCATTCCGTGCAAAAGTTGACTTTTATGCAAGCCCCATGCATTTCATGTGCGTTAACGGGATTCCATATGCATGCATTGTTTAGCATCCTGCTGACAACAACCACTCAGAAAAACAACAAAATTATGCAATTATTCAACATTACGAAATGCCACGCCTGTCCGAAAATGAGCGCCTGCGAGCCATTGGTATGCTTGAAGCAGGATCGAGTCAACGTGATGTTGCAAGACAATTTAACGTCCACAGAAACCCCATTTGGTGTTTATGGCAACGTTGGCAACAGACGAATGCAGTCAGAGACCATCCTCGGAGTGGCAGGCCACGCGTAACCAATAATCGACAAGACAACTGGATTCGAACAACACACCTACGAAATCGATTCCAACCAGCAACAGTGACTGCAAGAAGCATCCCTGGCCTTCGACGAATATATTCACAAACCGTACGTCGTCGCCTCAGATGTGCAGGGATTGTCGCCAGAAGACTCGCCAGACGTCCCATTTTGACAGGAAACCACCGTCAAGCGCGTCTACAGTGGTGTAGACAGCGTCCCTACTGCATGGCCGTCCAGCGTAGACGTTGGACGGCTATGCAGTGGGGACAAGTTCTATTCACTGACGAGTCTCGTTTTCACCTCAGCCACAGCGATGGACGGATTCGAGTGTACCGACGTCGAAGAAGATCGGTTCGGGGGCGGCAGCGTTATGGTATGGGGTGGGATTACATCAAGAAAGAGGACCCGTTTGCTGGTGGTAGAGGGAAATCTCAATGGACAGCGCTACCGCGACGAGATCATCGGCCCTGTTGTTCTACCGTTTTTGCGTCGTCATGGCCCAGGCAATACCTTGCAACATGACAACGCCCGGCCTCATATTGCTCGACTTGTTCAGGATTCTCTTCAACGTGAATGTCATCCCCTGGCCGGCTCGCTGCCCTGATCTCTCACCAATCGAGCACATGTGGGATGAGATTGATCGGCGCCTTCGACGTCAACCACGTGTTCCACAGACACTCAAGGAACTTCGAAACATGCTCCAGCAGATATGGACAGATATCCCACAGGACTTTGTGCGGCGCCTGGTCCATTCCATGAGACGAAGATCTGTTGCTTGCATCGCAACCAGAGGTGGACACACACGCTATTGATTTGTAAATTGACATTTTGCCATGTTCATGTTTATTTTATGGAATCACGCATTTTCTGAAGTCAGTATGGTGAATTAAACCATTTGAACACTTACAGGATTCTTTTATCTCTTGAAAATTGAAATTGTTTCAGATTTAGTAAAATACATAACTTTGTATTAAATCTTATTCAATGTCCCTGGAGGTTTCATCAAACAGATCAAATACATCGAAAAACACATCAAATACATCGAAAATTACATAAAATACATCAGACAAATCAAATACATCGAAAAACATCAAATACACCAAACAGATTAAATACATCGAAAAACATCAAATACATCAAACAGATCAAATACATCGAAAAAGACATCAAATACATCAAACAGATCAAATACATCGAAAAACACATCAAATACATTAAACAAATAAAATTTATATCAAGCCATATTAATGTCATTCCACTATTCAACATATTAAATGCAAATTTACAGCTATGTTTAAGATCGGATCAGAACTAGGTGAGTGGCATTTAGAGACATCATTGCTGAGATTGTGTACAAGGAGCCGTGGGCCTTGTGGTTGCCGAGCAGATGTGAGAAACTTGCGTGCAAGGACATGAGCTCATTTGAAGTTTTATAGGCTGGTATCAGGGTATCTTTAGAATGTGGTCGTAATTATGTGGGGAAGTGTAAGAGACAGTCACACTGGGATTGTGGCTGTAAAGTTTCAACACATTGACCATGTCTAAAACGTGAATGTTTCAATTACCAAGCACGGGTCAACGGAACATAGGCAATTCAATGTTAATTATCATATTTTTAAACTTAATAACACAATTTACACAGCTCGAAATATTTTCGATTTCGATTTTTCTGTTGTGCCCCAAATATTATTATCATCATTATCCCGATTTTGCGGCTATATTTTGATTTTTATGGCATCACAGTTCTCTTGTTGAATGAGAGTGTAATCCCTCTGTATGCCCAAAGCCCGGGCTCAACCAAATATATTATGGTATGTGAAGTCCGGTCTAGTGGCTCCACCTCATTGTTACGGCATGTGAAACTCAGTCTAGTGGCTCAACAACATTGATATAGTATGTGAAACCCAGTCTAGTGGTTCCTCCTCATTGATACGGTATGTGAAACCCAGTCTAGTGGCTCCACCTCATTGACACGGTATGTGAAACCCAGTCTAGTGGCTCAACCACATTGATACAGTATGTGAAACCCAGTCTAGTGGTTCCTCCTCATTGAAACAGTATGTGAAACCCAGTCTAGTGGTTCCTCCTTATTGATACGGTATGTGAAACCCAGTCTAGTGGTTCCTCCTCATTGATACGGTATGTGAAACCCAGTCTAGTGGTTCCTCCTCATTGATACGGTATGTGAAACTCAGTCTAGTGGCTCAACCTCATTGATACAGTATGTGAAACCCAGTCGAGTGGTTCCTCCTCATTGATACGGTATGTGAAATCCAGTCTAGTGGCTCCACCTCATTGATACAGTATGTGAAACCCAGTCTAGTGGTTCCTCCTCATTGATACAGTATGTGAAACCCAGTCTAGTGGCTCAACCACATTGATACAGTATGTGAAACCCAGTCGAGTGGTTCCTCCTCATTGATACGGTATGTGAAACCCAGTCTAGTGGCTCAACCACATTGATATAGTATGTGAAACCCAGTCGAGTGGTTCCTCCTCATTGATACGGTATGTGAAACCCAGTCGAGTGGTTCCTCCTCATTGATACGGTATGTGAAACCCAGTCTAGTGGCTCAACCACATTGATACAGTATGTGAAACCCAGTCGAGTGGCTCCACCTCATTGATACAGTATGTGAAACCCAGTCTAGTGGTTCCTCCTCATTGATACGGTATGTGAAACCCAGTCTAGTGGTTCCTTCTCATTGATACGGTATGTGAAACCCAGTCTAGTGGCTCAACCACATTGATACAGTATGTGAAACCCAGTCGAGTGGCTCCACCTCATTGATACAGTATGTGAAACCCAGTCTAGTGGTTCCTCCTCATTGATACAGTATGTGAAATCCAGTCTAGTGGCTCAACCACATTGATACAGTATGTGAAACCCAGTCGAGTGGTTCCCCCTCATTGATACGGTATGTGAAACCCAGTCTAGTGACTGAACCACATTGATACAGTATGTGAAACCAAGTCGAGTGGATCCACCTCATTGATACGGTATGTGAAACCCAGTCTAGTGGCTCAACCACATTGATACAGTATGTGAAACGCAGTCGAGTGGCTCCACCTCATTGATACGGTATGTGAAACCCAGTCTAGTGGCTCAACCACATTGATACGGTATGTGAAACCCAGTCGAGTGGCTCCTTCTCATTGATACGGTATGTGTAACCCAGTCTAGTGGCTCCAACACAATGTTTAGTTATGTGAAACCCAGAGGAGTGACTCCAAAACAATGTTACGTTTTGTGAAACCCAGTCTAGTGGCTCCAACACAATGTTTAGTTATGTGAAACCCAGTGGAGTGGCTCCAAAACAATGTTACGTTATGTGAAACCCAGTCTAGTTGCTCAAGCTTTGACGCGTCACGCCGAATTGAAGAACCGGGATCGATTCCTCACTTGGTACAATCACCATTATTGGCGTCATCTCTGTTGTTTGTTTGTTTGTTTGTTTTTTTGTTTATTTATTTATTTGTTGCTTAACGCCGCACTCAGCAATATTCCAGCCATATGACGGTGGTCTGTAAATGATCGAGTCTGGACCAGATAACCCAGTGATTGGCATCATGTGCTTCGATCCACGCAGTTGTGATACGATGGTATGCATCAACCAAGTCAGCGAGCCTGACCACTAGATCCCCTTAGTCTACCCCGGATCTTAACGAATCTCATCCCTGGTGATGTGGTTTCAACATTGCTTGATGCGGAGTAAAACTATATTCACTCATCGTTCATCGGGGTCAAAGGCGCTTATTACATATTAAGTGCGAAATGAAAACAGGTTGTTTCTTTCTGTTTGAATGTGAAAATGTTTATTTGGCAGAATGTACAGACAGACTTTGTGATGTACACGGAAAATATATCAATGGTGATGTGCGTGTATACGGTATACTAGTATACATATGAAATCTCCTCATAGCAGCTGAGCAGCAGACTGAGCATTCTATGTTATTGGGTTACAACTGCCATGTGTAAATTCATTGCTGAAATATACTTTGTCACGCTCACTTTCCTATCCAGAGATCCTTGCGGTCAACCAAGTGCATCTGTCACAGGCAAAACTAACTCTCCTACCCAGAGATCATTGTCAACCAAGTGCATCTGTCACAGGCCAGACCGACTCTTCTACCCAAAGATCATTGTCAACCAAGTGCATCTGTCACAGGCAAGACTGACTCTCCTACCCAAAGATCATTGTCAACCAAGTGCATCTGTCACAGGCCAGACCGACTCTCCTACCCAAAGATCATTGTCAACCAAGTGCATCTGTCACAGGCAAGACTGACTCTCCTACCCAAAGATCATTGTCAACCAAGTGCATCTGTCACAGGCAAGACTGACTCTCCTACCCAAAGATCATTGTCAACCAAGTGCATCTGTCACAGGCCAGACCGACTCTCCTACCCAAAGATCATTGTCAACCAAGTGCATCTGTCACAGGCAAGACTGACTCTCCTACCCAAAGATCATTGTCAACCAAGTGCATCTGTCACAGGCAAGACTGACTCTTCTACCCAAAGATCATTGTCAACCAAGTGCATCTGTCACAGGCCAGACCGACTCTCCTACCCAAAGATCCTTGCGGTCAACCAAGTGCATCTGTCACAGGCCAGACCGACTCTCCTACCCAAAGATCATTGTCAACCAAGTGCATCTGTCACAGGCAAGACTGACTCTCCTACCCAAAGATCATTGTCAACCAAGTGCATCTGTCACAGGCCAGACCGACTCTTCTACCCAAAGATCATTGTCAACCAAGTGCATCTGTCACAGGCAAGACTGACTCTCCTACCCAAAGATCATTGTCAACCAAGTGCATCTGTCACAGGCAAGACTGACTCTCCTACCCAAAGATCATTGTCAACCAAGTGCATCTGTCACGGGCAAGACCGACTCTCCTACCCAAAGATCATTGTCAACCAAGTGCATCTGTCGCAGGCAAGACTGACTCTCCTACCCAAAGATCATTGTCAACCAAGTGCATCTGTCACAGGCAAGACTGACTCTTCTACCCAAAGATCATTGTCAACCAAGTGCATCTGTCACAGGCAAGACTGACTCTCCTACCCAAAGATCATTGTCAACCAAGTGCATCTGTCACGGGCAAGACCGACTCTCCTACCCCGAAATCATTGTCAACCAAGTGCATCTGTCGCAGGCAAGACAGACTCTCCTACCCAGAGATCATTGTCAACCAAGTGCATCTGTCGCAGGCAAGACTGACTCTCCTACCCCGAAATCATTGTCAACCAAGTGCATCTGTCACAGGCAAGACTGACTCTCCTACCCAAAGATCATTGTCAACCAAGTGCATCTGTCACGGGCAAGACAGACTCTCCTACCCAGAGATTATTGTCAACCAAGTGCATCTGTCGCAGGCAAGACTGACTCTTCTACCCCGAAATCATTGTCAACCAAGTGCATCTGTCACAGGCAAGACTGACTCTCCTACCCAGAGATCATTGTCAACCAAGTGCATCTGTCGCAGGCAAGACAGACTCTCCTACCCAAAGATCATTGTCAACCAAGTGCATCTGTCACAGGCCAGACTGACTCTTCTTCCCAAAGATCATTGTCAACCAAGTGCATCTGTCACAGGCAAGACTGACTCTCCTACCCAAAGATCATTGTCAACCAAGTGCATCTGTCACAGGCAAGACCGACTCTCCTACCCCGAAATCATTGTCAACCAAGTGCATCTGTCACAGGCCAGACCGACTCCCCTACCCAAAGATCCTTGCGGTCAACCAAGTGCATCTCTAACGGGCAAGACTGACTCTCCTACCCAGAGATCCTTGCGGTCAACCAAGTGCATCTGTCACAGGCTAGACAGACTCTCCTACCCAAAGATCATTGTCAACCAAGTGCATCTGTCACAGGCCAGACTGACTCTTCTTCCCAAAGATCATTGTCAACCAAGTGCATCTGTCACGGGCAAGACTGACTCTCCTACCCAAAGATCATTGTCAACCAAGTGCATCTGTCACAGGCAAGACCGACTCTCCTACCCCGAAATCATTGTCAACCAAGTGCATCTGTCACAGGCCAGACCGACTCCCCTACCCAAAGATCCTTGCGGTCAACCAAGTGCATCTCTAACGGGCAAGACTGACTCTCCTACTCAGAGATCATTGTCAACCAAGTTCATCTGTCTCAGGCAAGACTGACTCGGGTACCCAAAGATCCTTGCGGTCAACCAAGGACGTTTGTTACGGGTCAGCCTCATTCTCCAAGAGATTGTCGGGAATTCACCACGACAGGTTGGGGAAACAGTAAATACACTCCTCATCACTTTGCTGGTGTAACGAAATCAGCATTCAATCGCTCACTGTATCTTTGAAAATCTGTTCACATCCAGTTAAACGTTCATCCCTCCACTCGTTTCCATGGTGACCAGTCTACCGGCAATATAATGCGTATCCATTGCAGTGAGCCTGTAAAGATAAGTAAAATGAAATACATTCCTTGTCGTCATACAAAAACGACTTGTGAATAAAAACGTAATGTGATAAATCGTTCTTGTTGCGTAACAAGGAAAGAGTAAGTGAGTATTGTTTTACGCCGCTTTTAGCAATATTCCAGCAATATCACGGCGGGTGACACCAGGCTTCACACATTGTACCAATTTGGGGAATCGATCCTGGGTCTTCGGCGTGACGAACGACCGCTTAAACCGCTTGGCCACCCCGTCGCCCGGGGAAACTAGGTAAGGGTAATTGTTAGACTTGTATTTACTCCGAATGATTATCAGTAAATAAATATGCTTAATCCTTTGTATGATCCAGTAAATGATGAATAAATATTAGTGCTGACAGAAAAAAATTGAAATTAACTATGAAAATTATGAAAATAACGAATGAGATGATGGCACAATGGGGATCAGGGTTAGAATAAGTTCCCAGCACTCAATTGCGGATGAGATTTAATTGGATCAGGTGATTAGACTGATTGACTTGGACGATTGCGTGTCATCGCTCCTGACGGTGTCGTTAAAACAACAAACAAGATTTAGAGATGAATGAAGCACAGTTCGGTACGATGAATGCCAACCAACAAAATGTTTTTGCGATGGTTCGACCTAATCGATTTATCAAATATAAGATTAAATATTTATCATAAGAAAAGACAAATAGTCGACAGTATTTAGAGAGTAAGTGAATGAGATCGGTTAACGCCGCTCTGAACAATATTCCAGTTAAAACGGCGTGTCAGCTCAGATTAATGTGGGAAGAAAACCCGAATTGATGCAGGTCTCGGACGTTTACCACCTTGGTGAAACCCACGAGCACGGGTATGGTGCTGACAAACCTAGAAACATAATCGGGGCGAACCGGGATTCGAACCCACAATCATAGGTTTCTGGTGTGCCGTAGGGACGAAACTCTGCACAGCGAATAGACCGAGGAGCATAATCGACGCGAACCGGAATTCGAAATCACTATCATAGGTGACTAAGTGAGTATGGTTTTACGCCGCTTTTAGCAATATCACGGCGGGGGACACCAGAAATGGGCTTCACACATTGTACCCATGTCGGGAATCGAACCCGGGTCTTCGGCGTGACGAGCGAACGCTTTAACCACTAGGCTACCCGACAGCCCCTACTACCATAGGTCTCTGGCATACTCAATGGACCCAACTCTGCACAGCGAAGTGCGGCGCCTTAGACGACTAGGCCACCCGTGCCCCCGATAGTATTTAGACTCATCAAGTAGCAACATATACGCTATGAAATCAAGGACATAATACCTCTTCCCACATCATCCCTGCGTAGCACCAACACACAAAGTCACAATCCGACCCCTCGAAGACACAGTCGATGATGCTGCAGGCTCTTGCTATCCGTTCAGAAGGGGTGTAGAAGTCGTAATAGTCGCGAGTGTTCCTGCATAAAACACATGACCAAGGGTATTACCCTAAATGTTTTGAGTCAATTATGTCCGGACTAACCATTGTTGTTTGTTTGTTTGTTTGTTTGTCCGTGATTTTTTTAACGCCGCACTCAGCAATATTCCAGCTATATGACGGCGGTCTGTAAATAATCGAGTCTGGCTCAGACAATCCAGTGATTGATATCATCAGCATCAATCTACGCAATTGGGATACGATGACATGCATCAAAGTCAGCGAGTCTGACCACCCGAACCCGTTAGTCGCCTCTCAAGACAAGCATAGTCGCCTCTTACGGCAAGCATGGGTTTCTGAAGACCTATTCTAACCCGGATCTTCACGGGTCGACTAACCATTTGGGCAGAGTAAACATAAAACGTCAAAACCAGAGAATAATCAGTCTGTATTGTCAGCCCAAACAGATTCCATTTGAAGCAAAAGGAAAATATTGGTGAAAATTATAGGAATGGATCATTGAAAACCAGAAACTATTAGAACGTTGGTTTCTGGACATACCATATAGGATATGACGTTATATATAGATATGACGTTACATTTATAACATTTCACTCATGCTGAGTGTCTCAGTATTCAGTAGCATCTCAATGTATGACACTATGGCACATATGTTAATAATAGTGAGTGAGCGAGTTGCGTTCACGCCGCTCTAGACAGTATTCCAGTTATATCACGACGTGTCAGCTTGATGTGGGAGGAAAGCCCGAAGTGATGCAGGTCTTGGACGTTTACCACTTCGGTGAAACCAACAAGCACGGGGAATGGGCTGACAAACATTATCAGGGTAAATCTGGGACTCGAATCCACGATCATATGGTTCTGGCACAAGCTCCTCACAGCGATAGTCCGTTCGCGGAGCTCTCTATACTATCGCTGCCACCAGTCAAAACTCCCAACTGTGGTAGGTGGCAACAACCATGCTTGGAGTTGAACTCGCAACCGAATGACCGTTATGTTTACAAACAAGTGACGACTATCGTGTCGCCGAATACACTTACCGCTGCTAAATTACTTTCTTTGTTTGTCAATTTGAATTTCTATTGCATTAAAAGTATCATCTTTAATTGATATAGTAAGAATGTAAGGGAGACGTTGGTTGATTTTCCGTAAGTCTGCAATCTCGAACCAATCTGATTATTAAAACAACAAAGTAAATCATCTGGAAAACATGGTCAGTCGTAAACCTTTTAAAAATGAAATATGATGGCATTCCCAAAGACATAAACAAAAGTATAAACGTTACTACATATGGGGTTAGAGGGCAAATTACAAGATTCTTGTAATGGCCGCGCCCACACTGGTGGCAGCGATGTCACTGAGAGTGTAACGAAGGTGTCACGCGCTGGGAAGGAGCTTGGTTCTGGCACCCCCAAGGGACGCAACTCCGGACAGAGTATTGCCGCACATGAGATGACTTTGCCACTCGGTGAAAAATAGTAGCTGACTACCTGGACCTTGATTATCTTAGCATGTGGATGAATACAGGACAGTACCATATTGTTTCCTGACCGGTCAATATATTTGTTGTGTAAATGCGCAATAAGGGTGAATTGGAAATGATAGCTACCAGAATTCCCATTTTTCAAACTCGGAGTCTACGTCCAACTTCGTCTTGATGACCATTCCTGTGTCCTGCTCTCGTCTCAGAATACTTCCTCCACCTGCAACACAGGTTAGATAAAATTAATGCCAGTTGCACAAACTTTGGATTTTACAAACTTTTGCCCTCAACGTCTACCCAGGCTATTTTCACGCGTGTGTACAGCGTATTCTTACATTGTATGCATTTAATTACATGCAAGTTCAATTTAAAGTGCAATTAAGTTTTCTAATAATTTTTTAACCATTTTGTTGGTTTTATGTGTTCTGTTTGCTAATTGAGAAAACATATTTGTTTAGATATGTGTGTTTAATGTTCTCTTTTTCTATTTCGATAAAGTTCGATTTGATATGATAAAAAGACAATATTTTCATTTCTCAAAAAAATATTATACTTTCCGATTCATTACATGATTTATGTTACTTTACAAACCAAATTCTAAATCAAGTGGCAAAACATTTTCTTTAGTGATTTCATTGGTGATGCATTCATATAACTTTCATCACTTTTTGTCTTTACGTCCAATGTAAACTGTCTCGGCAGATAGTCGAAACTGGTTATTCTCTGGGGTTGACGTTATATAAATATTTTAATTCATAAATTAACAAGGAAACGTCAATTTGTTTGATATGTTATAGGCGTAACCATTCCTTTTTGTCTGAATTGACTGGACAATCCTGAAATGATGACAGATGAAGCGACGTCATGCAAGTCGTCCCACTTCTGTGTAAACTATTTATGATTATTGCAAGGATTAGGAGGGAAGGCACATAGAATATACCATACATGTGTTAACATATATATTACATGTGTTTACATATATCATACATGTGTTTACATATATCATACATGTGTTTACATATACCATACATGTGTTAACATATACCATACATTTGTTTACATATACCATACATGTGTTTACATATACCATACATGTGTTTACATATACCATACATGTGTTTATATCATGCATTTATTCACATATATCATACATGTATTTTAACATGTGTTTACATATATCATACATGTGTGAACATATACTATACATGTGTTTACATATACCATACACGTGTTTACATATACCATACATGTGTTAACATATACCATACATGTGTTTACATATACCATACATGTGTTTACATATATCATACATGTGTTTACATATATCATACATGTGTTTACATATACCATACATGTGTTTACATATACCATACATGTGTTTACATATACCATACATGTTTTAACATATACCATACATGTGTTTACATATACCATACATGTGTTTACATATACCATACATGTGTTTATATCATACATTTATTCACATATATCATACATGTATTTTAACATGTGTTTACATATATCATACATGTGTTAACATATACCATACATGTGTTTACATATACCATACACGTGTTTACATATACCATACATGTGTTAACATATATCATACATGTGTTTACATATATCATACATGTGATTACATATATCATACATGTGTTCATATATATTATACATGTGTTCATATATATCATACATGTGTTTACATATATCATACATGTGTTTACATATATCATACATGTGTTCATATATATCATATATGTGTTTACATATATCATACATGTGTTCATATATATCATATTTGTGTTTACATATATCATACATGTGTTTACATATATCATACACGTGTTGACATATATCATACATGTGTTTACATATATCATACATGTGTTTATATATATATCATACATGTGTTTACATATATCATACATGTGTTCATATATATCATACATGTGTTTACATAGATCATACATGTGTTCATATATACCATACATTTTATGTCATACATGTGTTTACATATATCATACACGTGTTTACATATATCATACATGTGTTTACGTATATAATACATGTGTTTACATATATCATACGTGTGTTTACCTGAATACAGTACAAAGGTATCTGCGAGGACGATGTCCCCTGGTTCTAGGGGCACCCGGTGTCTGTCCAGGATTGTCACACTGTCATCAGACTGCCCCGACACCGAGCCTGTCAAAAACAGAATTGCATGTGTGAAAGTGGTCGCCGAGACACCTTCTCTGTCAAAAACAGATTTACAGGTGTGAATAGTGGTCGCCCCGTCACCCCCTCTGTCAGAAACAGAGTAATAGGTATGAATAGTGGTCGCCCAGACCTCCACTTAACGCCGTTTGAACAGTGTTGCATCATAACATGGCGTTTGGTCTTAATATGGGAAGAAAGCCCGAAGTGAGATAGGTCTCAGACATGTTCCACTTTCTTGAAACCCAAGAGTACACCCGTACTGATAACCAATCACAACATATGTTCAAACCAAAGACCACAGGTATCCGGGACGAATAAACGACGCAACTGGAACAAGATTTGCATATTGTACCAACATGCACGTCACGAATCGACCGTGCTTCTTCACACAAAGCATGAAGACACACATGGCTACTCTAGCGCCCCAACTGAAAGGGATGCAATCAATATCTAGATAATTACCAGGTACGTTCAAAGAGCATTTATTACAAGCCAACTCATACAAATATTTAAATATTAGCAGCGTTTAAGGGGGCGGTAGGGTAGCCTAGTGGTTAAAGCGTCCGCTCGTCACGCCGAAGACCCGGGTTCGTTTCCAGACATGGGTACAATTTGTGAAGCCCATTTCTGGTGTCCCCCGCCGTGATATTGCTGGAATATTGGTAAAAGCGGCGTAAAACCATACTCACTCACTAGTAGCGTATAAATAACAAATTATGAACTCCAACCGAACTTACCGTAAAAGTACGTTCTCATGGAGAATATATTTCTGGCTGTTTGAAATATGCTTTCTGTCCAGGTAGCGCTTGCTGCTGTTTTATCAACAGACATTTCATCCTCAACACCTCCGTCTGAAACATCCGTGACCCTGACCTCTATCTCACCGTCTGGTATAACGCTGGATGCTGTTTCTTCTTTCTTATCAGCAACCAACACCGTGATGTTCGGGGTGACGTTAACGACATCACTTTTGGTATTTATTTTCATGTTCAAATTCAAGTCTATTTCATCTGGGAAATTGAGGACCGTATTCCCATTTCCAATTTGGACAGTTCTGACGTCATTGTTCGTGACGTTAACACTTGCTGCTGACGTCATTGAGTAACTTTAAACTTGCAAGTCTTTACGATGGGGGAGATATTCCTCCTGGAATAAAGGATATTGGCAATGAATGTGATAATGAACAATCCTTTTCACTAACAGTTTGTGTTATGGTGGATAAGATTTCCATGGAAAAGTTTAACGTCAAAAAAAAGGCTTACGGATTTCTGTATTCCGGATTTCAGTGTTTGAGTGAATCTTTAAATGCTAAGTTATTCATGTCGTGTGAGATTAATAGCTTTGTTTGTTTGTTTGTGTATTGTTTAACGACGCAATCAGCAATATTCCAGCTATATGACGGCGGTCTGTAAATAATCGAGTCTGGACCAGACAATCAAGTGATTGATATTACGAGCATCCATCCACGTAATTGGGATACGATGACATGCATGAACCAAGTCAGCGAGCCTGACCTCCCAATCCCATTAGTCGCCTCTTACGATAGCCATAGTCGCCTCTTACCGCAAGCATGGCTTCTTGGAGACCAATTCTAACCCGGACCTTCGCGAGTCAATGATACACGGGATAATCGATGCCTGAACGCGGTCTGGTGAAAACTGTATCACCTCCTCACAAACACTTCAGCAACAATAAAAATGTTGGGGGGGGGGGGGGGGGGGGGGGGGGGGGGGGGCACATGAACAACCACATTTTGCTCTAGGTTTTTAACGGCTATAGCTCTTTGGGGCACTCCTTTCCCGTTAAGTGTACAGACATTTTCCTACTGCAACTTTTTAGAATAAGGGTGCACACATTTAAGTTCGTTGTTGCATCATTCGAGAGTTCAAATTGATATAAAGTTTTTCACATTTTATTTAAATTCACGAACTCCTACTGCTATGTGATTAAATTGTTTTGAAAGTAATAAGTAATACATGTCTATCAAGATACTGTGAGACCATCAAGTCTACATTTACCCGTATCAAATCCAAACAACTAACAATATGACGTTGTCCACACCACAATAAACTACCAATAACTTCGAAAACTCAGTCGAAAGTCTGTAGCGTGAGGTAAGACGTTGCCACATGGCTACGTCTATTCACGCAGAAGACGAGGAATGCCCCTACATATTTTGAACAGTATATGTTATGTATCACGGATGTATCGTACGACATGGGTTGGTTATATGTCACATGCTCCGGCCACACATGAAGCCACTCTTCCTGTATAGCACGCTTGTTACAAAATAACTTCCTTCAATAAGAATTCTACTTTCAAAAGTGGTTAGGTTTCATGTCATCACTAACATCTGCATCATAGGATGTCGCCCCCATTGTGAACACATGATCTAACATGCTGGTGATCTGAAATCATTGTTTATCCGAAAGTTAAGCCACCATCCCGACTGCATCTACACAGTTTTGTTTGTTGTTTAACGCCGCACACGGCAATATTCCAGCTATATTACGGCGGTCTGTAAATACTCGCATATGCCACCATCCCTACTAAGTATGCAGTGTTCGGATACCCCTAAATCTCGAAGATACGTCACCACCCCTACTAGGTCTGTAGTGTCTATACACATCTCAATGCCCCGAAGTTAAGCCACCACCCCTACTAGGTCTGTAGTGTCTATACACATCTCAATGCCCCGAAGTTAAGTCACCACCCCTACTAGGTCTGTAGTGTCTATACACATCTCAATGCCACGAAGTTAAGTCACCACCCCTACTAGGTCTGTAGTGTCTATACACATCTCAATGCCCCGAAGTTAAGTCACCACCCCTACTAGGTCTGTATAGTGTCTCTACACATCTCAATGCCCCGAAGATACGTCAGCACCCCTACTAGGTCTGTATAGTGTCTATACACATCTCAATGCCACGAAGTTAAGCCACCACCCCTACTAGGTCTGTAGTGTCTCTACACATCTCAATGCCACGAAGATACGTCACCACCCCTACTAGGTCTGTAGTGTCTATACACATCTCAATGCCACGAAGTTAAGTCACCACCCCTACTAGGTCTGTAGTGTCTATACACATCTCAATGCCCCGAAGTTAAGTCACCACCCCTACTAGGTCTATATAGTGTCTCTACACATCTCAATGCCCCGAAGATACGTCAGCACCCCTACTAGGTCTGTAGTGTCTATACACATCTCAATGCCCCGAAGTTAAGTCACCACCCCTACTACGTCTGTAGTGTCTCTACACATCTCAATGCCCCGAAGATACGTCACCACCCCTACTAGGTCTGTAGTGTCTATACACATCTCAATGCCACGAAGTTAAGTCACCACCCCTACTAGGTCTGTAGTGTCTATACACATCTCAATACCCCGAAGTTAAGCCACCACCCCTACTAGGTCTGTAGTGTCTATACACATCTCAATGCCCCGAAGATACGTCACCACCCCTACTAGGTCTGTAGTGTCTATACACATCTCAATGCCCCGAAGTTAAGTCACCACCCCTACTAGGTCTGTATAGTGTCTATACACATCTCAATGCCCCGAAGATACGTCACCACCCCTACTAGGTCTGTAGTGTCTATACACATCTCAATGCCCCGAAGTTAAGTCACCACCCCTACTCGGTCTGTAGTGTCTATACACATCTCAATGCCCCGAAGTTAAGCCACCACCCCTACTAGGTCTGTAGTGTCTATACACATCTCAATGCCCCGAAGTTAAGTCACCACCCCTACTAGGTCTGTAGTGTCTATACACATCTCAATGCCACGAAGTTAAGTCACCACCCCTACTAGGTCTGTAGTGTCTATACACATCTCAATACCCCGAAGTTAAGCCACCACCCCTACTAGGTCTGTAGTGTCTATACACATCTCAATGCCACGAAGATACGTCACCACCCCTACTGGGTCTGTAGTGTCTATACACATCTCAATGCCCCGAAGTTAAGTCACCACCCCTACTAGGTCTGTAGTGTCTATACACATATCAATGCCCCAAAGTTAAGTCACCACCCCTACTAGGTCTGTATAGTGTCTATACACATCTCACTGCCCCGAAGTTAAGTCACCACCCCTACTAGGTCTGTAGTGTCTATACGCATCTCAATGCCCCGAAGTTAAGTCACCACCCCTTCTAGGTCTGTATAGTGTCTATACACATCTCAATGCCCCGAAGTTAAGTCACCACCCCTACTCGGTCTGTAGTGTCTATACACATCTCAATGCCCCGAAGTTAAGCCACCACCCCTACTAGGTCTGTAGTGTCTATACACATCTCAATGCCCCGAAGTTAAGTCACCACCCCTACTAGGTCTGTAGTGTCTATACACATCTCAATGCCACGAAGTTAAGTCACCACCCCTACTATGGTCTGTAGTGTCTATACACATCTCAATACCCCGAAGTTAAGCCACCACCCCTACTAGGTCTGTAGTGTCTATACACATCTCAATGCCACGAAGATACGTCACCACCCCTACTGGGTCTGTAGTGTCTATACACATCTCAATGCCCCGAAGTTAAGTCACCACCCCTACTAGGTCTGTAGTGTCTATACACATATCAATGCCCCGAAGTTAAGTCACCACCCCTACTAGGTCTGTATAGTGTCTATACACATCTCACTGCCCCGAAGTTAAGTCACCACCCCTACTAGGTCTGTAGTGTCTATACGCATCTCAATGCCCCGAAGTTAAGTCACCACCCCTTCTAGGTCTGTATAGTGTCTATACACATCTCAATGCCCCGAAGTTAAGTCACCACCCCAACTAGGTCTGTAGTATCTATACACATCTCAATGCCCCGAAGTTAAGTCACCACCCCTACTAGGTCTGTAGTGTCTATACACATCTCAATGCCCCGAAGTTAAGCCACCACCCCTACTAGGTCTGTAGTGTCTATACACATCTCAATGCCCCGAAGATACGTCACCACCCCTACTAGGTCTGTAGTGTCTATACACATCTCAATGCCCCGAAGTTAAGTCACCACCCCTTCTAGGTCTGTAGTGTCTATACACATCTCAATGCCCCGAAGTTAAGTCACCACCCCTGCTAGGTCTGTAGTGTTTATACACATCTCAATGCCCCGAAGTTAAGTCACCATTCCAACTAGGTCTGTAGTGTCTATACACATCTCAATGCCCCGAAGTTAAGCCACCACCCCTACTAGGTCTGTAGTGTCTATACACATCTCAATGCCCCGAAGATACGTCACCACCCCTACTAGGTCTGTAGTGTCTATAAAACATCTCAATGCCCGAAAGTTAAGTCACCACCCCTACTAGGTCTGTAGTGTCTCTCCACACCCCTATATCTCGAAGTTAAGCTACCATCACTACTAAAACGGCAGTGTCTCTACACATCCTTATATCTCGAAGTTAAGCTACCATCACTACTAAAACGGCAGTGTCTCTACACATCCCTATATCTCGAATTTAAGCTACCATCACTACTAAATCGGCAGTGTCTCTACACACCCCTATATCTCGAAGTTAAGCCACCATCCCTACTAAATCGGCAGTGTCTCTACACACACCTTTATCTCGAAGTTAAGTCACCATCCCTACTAAATCGGCAGTGTCTCTCCACACCCCTATATCTCGAAGTTAAGCTACCATCACTACTAAAACGGCAGTGTCTCTACACATCCTTATATCTCGAAGTTAAACTACCATCACTACTAAAACGGCAGTGTTTCTACACATCCTTATATCTCGAAGTTAAGCTACCATCACTACTAAATCGGCAGTGTCTCTACACATCCCTATATCTCGAAGTTAAGCTACCATCACTACTAAAACGGCAGTGTCTCTACACATCCTTATATCTCGAAGTTAAGCTACCATCACTACTAAAACGGCAGTGTCTATACACATCCCTATATCTCGAAGTTAAGCTACCATCACTACTAAATCGGCAGTGTCTCTACACATCCCTATATCTCGAAGTTAAGCTACCATCACTACTAAAACGGCAGTGTCTCTACACATCCTTATATCTCGAAGTTAAGCTACCATCACTACTAAAACGGCAGTGTCTATACACATCCCTATATCTCGAAGTTAAGCTACCATCACTACTAAATCGGCAGTGTCTCTACACACACCTTTATATCGAAGTTAAGCCACTATCCCTACTAAATCGGCAGTGTCTCTACACACCCGTATGTCTCCAAGTTAAGCCTTCTCCATCTGCAGTGTTTTCATAGAGTAAGGGCCAAACTGTATGAAATCGGAGCTTGCTACTAGATGAGTCGTTGCGAGGATATTTATTAACGGCCATGCAGCCGAACTCTTAAAACAACGCTTTATTCGTGCTAGGGACAGCTGTCATTATATCACTGCGAACAACGATAAAAATAGAATGAAAGAAGAGATTAGAGATGACAGTATGCATACAAAGTGTGTGCATGAGCCCGCATATCACTGCGAACAACGATAAAAATAGAATGAAAGAAGAGATTAGAGATGACAGTATGCATTCAAGTGTGTACATGAACCAACATATCACTGCGAACAACGATAAAGATAGAATGAAAGAAGAGATTAGAGATGACACTATACATTCAAAGTGTGTACATGAACCCACATATCACTGCGAACAACGATAAAGATAGAATGAAAGAAGAGATTAGAGATGACAGTATGCATTCAAAGTGTGTACATGAACCCACATATCACTGCGAACAACGATAAGATAGAATGAAAGAAGAGATTAGAGATGACACTATACATTCAAAGTGTGTACATGAACCCACATATCACTGCGAACAACGATAAAGATAGAATGAAAGAAGAGATTAGAGATGACAGTATGCATACAAAGTGTGTACATGAGCCCGCATATCACTGCGAACAACGATAAAGATAGAATGAAAGAAGAGATTAGAGATGACACTATACATTCAAAGTGTGTACATGAACCAACATATCACTGCGAACAACGATAAAGATAGAATGAAAGAAGAGATTAGAGATGACACTCTACATTCAAAGTGTGTACATGAACCCACATATCACTGCGAACAACGATAAAGACAGAATGAAAGAAGAGATTAGAGATGACAGTATACATTCAAAGTGTGTACATGAACCCACATATCACTGCGAACAACGATAAAGATAGAATGAAAGAAGAGATTAGAGATGACACTATACATTCAAAGTGTGTACATGAACCCACATATCACTGCGAACAACGATAAAGATAGAATGAAAGAAGAGATTAGAGATGACAGTATGCATTCAAAGTGTGTACATGAACCCACATATCACTGCGAACAACGATAAGATAGAATGAAAGAAGAGATTAGAGATGACAGTATGCATTCAAAGTGTGTACATGAACCCACATATCACTGCGAACAACGATAAAGATAGAATGAAAGAAGAGATTAGAGATGACACTATACATTCAAAGTGTGTACATGAACCTGCATATCACTGCGAACAACGATAAAGATAGAATGAAAGAAGAGATTAGAGATGACACTCTACATTCAAAGTGTGTACATGAACCCACATATCACTGCGAACAACGATAAAGATAGAATGAAAGAAGAGATTAGAGATGACACTATACATTCAAAGTGTGTACATGAACCCACATATCACTGCGAACAACGATAAAGATAGAATGAAAGAAGAGATTAGAGATGACACTATACATTCAAAGTGTGTACATGAACCCGCATATCACTGCGAACAACGATAAAGATAGAATGAAAGAAGAGATTAGAGATGACACTATACATTCAAAGTGTGTACATGAACCCACATATCACTGCGAACAACGATAAGATAGAATGAAAGAAGAGATTAGAGATGACAGTATGCATTCAAAGTGTGTACATGAACCCACATATCACTGCGAACAACGATAAAGATAGAATGAAAGAAGAGATTAGAGATGACAGTATGCATTCAAAGTGTGTACATGAACCCACATATCACTGCGAACAACGATAAAGATAGAATGAAAGAAGAGATTAGAGATGACAGTATGCATTCAAAGTGTGTACATGAACCAAAATATCACTGCGAACAACGATAAAGATAGAATGAAAGAAGAGATTAGAGATGACAGTATGCATTCAAAGTGTGTACATGAACCCACATATCACTGCGAACAACGATAAAGATAGAATGAAAGAAGAGATTAGAGATGACAGTATGCATTCAAAGTGTGTACATGAACCAACATATCACTGCGAACAACGATAAAGATAGAATGAAAGAAGAGATTAGAGATGACACTATACATTCAAAGTGTGTACATGAACCCGCATATCACTGCGAACAACGATAAAGATAGAATGAAAGAAGAGATTAGAGATGACACTATACATTCAAAGTGTGTACATGAACCCGCATATCACTGCGAACAACGATAAAGATAGAATGAAAGAAGAGATTAGAGATGACACTATACATTCAAAGTGTGTACATGAACCCGCATATCACTGCGAACAACGATAAAGATAGAATGAAAGAAGAGATTAGAGATGACACTATACATTCAAAGTGTGTACATGAACCCACATATCACTGCGAACAACGATAAGGACAGAATGAAAGAAGAGATTAGAGATGACACTATACATTCAAAGTGTGTACATGAACCCGCATATCACTGCGAACAACGATAAAGATAGAATGAAAGAAGAGATTAGAGATGACACTATACATTCAAAGTGTGTACATGAACCCACATATCACTGCGAACAACGATAAAGACAGAATGAAAGAAGAGATCAGAGATGACACTATACATTCAAAGTGTGTACATGAACCTGCATATCACTGCGAACAACGATAAAGATAGAATGAAAGAAGAGATTAGAGATGACACTATACATTCAAAGTGTGTACATGAACCCACATATCACTGCGAACAACGATAAAGATAGAATGAAAGAAGAGATTAGAGATGACACTATACATTCAAAGTGTGTACATGAACCCACATATCACTGCGAACAACGATAAAGACAGAATGAAAGAAGAGATTAGAGATGACACTATTCATTCAAAGTGTGTACATGAACCAAAATATCACTGTGAACAGCGTCTTACCTTCAGGTTGTCTGAAATTTATTCTGAAGTCACGTGGTGGATCATTCCTTAAAAGGAAACTACACGAAATTTCCCTTTATCTATGTATAGGCCACTGATATGCGAGTGGGCGTATGCAGTTCGGAGGGTCAACAATATTCAATCCAAAAGAAAATATGAAAAATGAATTTTAAGCTGATGATAAAACATTGCATGCTAGCGTCCATTATAGTTTACATAAACTGTTGGTATGCACAAAACACATCATAATTACTGATTGAATATTGCAGCGTCGGAGTAGGAAGTAGAATATCCGGATCTGGATGACGTAGTATAGCTGCCCTAGTTTGTCAACACTGAAGCTCAAATTTAGTCTAATACTGACTGTAGTTCCGCGAAACCCAACAATGGTGTGATTGTTGTTTAACACCCACTGAGTACTATCCTACTATCCCAGGGTAGGTGGATAGGTGGTGTTGGTTGTACGGTGTGTGTGTGTGTGTGTGTGTGTGTGTGTGTGTGTGTGTGTGTGTGTGTGTGTGTGTGTGTGTGTGTGTGTGTGTGTGTGTGTGTGTGTGTGTGTTGGGGGGGGGGGGGGGGGGGGGGGGACACTTTGGTCAGATCAAGGTTATCTGATCGGTGATCAAGATATATATGGTAATAGACGGGTCTTACCCCGCGAAGTGCATCAAATCACGTGAGCACCTTGATTAAAGACATGAAAACTTTGAAAAATATCTGTAGACGACCAGTCGACGAACTGGATGTCGATGCCGTTACGCGATTTTGATTTAACTATGCATAGACTCGTTAGTCCAACCAAAACATAACTCCATAATGCCAGCCAAGTTTGGCAAGGGAACAGGACTATTACAGACAGTTAACTCCCTTGAATCGGGAAGATGATTTTCCATTGTCCTATACTATATAGCTTACATGTTAATGTTACATCCTGTCTTTTGTTTGTACCATCGATCTATTGTCTAATTACAGTAAACTACGGTTATAACGAACACGCTTATAACGAACTGACGGATATAACGAACTTACTTTTTTGGTCCCGACCATTTGCTGTAATTATGCTGTATATATGCTTATAACGAACTACGGTTATAACGAACTAAAATAAGTAGTCCCTTTGAGTTCGTTATAACCGTACTTTACTGTACATATAATGTGAACCACGTGAAAACAATAGGCCTAATCAGCAAACAGCAGTTACTTCCCTTCTCTTAGCAGCACGTTCTATTGTCCCCCCCCCCATCCTATTTGCAAACTTCCCATTCCTCCCTCCTCTCCCTTTCCTACTCCCCTTACCCCACCAATACAGCTGGGCCACGCTTCACAAAGCGATCTTAGCGCTACGCCTGTAGTAAGTCCATGTGGTATGGCATTACGGTCGTCTTAGTGCTGAGATCGCTTTGTGAAACGTTGCCCTGGCGTGGGAGATCATGATTTCCAGCTATCACTTTGTTATAAGGGTGAACATATTAAGGATATTAGCAGTCGATATCATCAGAGGTGTTGTTGTTCCCTGTTGTGTTTTATTTAACAGTACCTGACCTGAAGTCTAAACCACACAAAATAGCATCAGTTGTATTATTGGACAACTAATACCTTGTTAATTATCAACTTTCAGGGGAAACACAGAGATGTGTGCTGTCAGTGAAGATACGGAAGTGCCTTGACAACTGATTCAGCTTCAGTTACATGAGGTGAAATGGGGCCTAACGTCGCGTCCAAGATTATTGAAACTTGCATGTACGTGTGTGTGTGGCTTCTTGTACTAGACCGGACTGATGCTGATTTATAGTGCTAGCTCACTGAGATACCATGCCGCAGTTTAACATGAATACCCCACTCAGACAGAGTATACTGACTCCGAGCAGACCATTCCTTGTTTTAGCCCCTAAATGCCGAGCGCCAGGGTAACAACAAGTATCACCTGGTAACCTCTTACCTTCCGCTCTCCGGGCGGACGCTCTACCACTAGACCACTGAGGCGGTACATATATTACAGACGATGACATATATATCACAGGCTGTGACATGTATTATAGTCGGTGACATATGTTATAGTTTGTGACATATGTTATAGACGATGATATATGCTGTAGATGGTGACATAGGCTATATACTGTGACATATGTCCTAGACTGACACATATTATAGACTGTGACATATATTATAGACTGTGACATATATTATAGACTGTGACATATAGCATAGGCTGTGACATGTTACAGACTGTGACATATCGTATAGACTGTGATATATCATAAAGACTGTGACATGTAATTTAGCTTTATAGTTTTGAGGAAAAGTTACGTGGTCAGGTCCATTCTTCTTATGGGGCTGGGGCTGGGGCTGGGGCTGGGGCGACACGGGGGGCATAATTGCTGCCCGGGCGGTCACACGAGATACTCAGTTCAGCGCTACCTTGTAGCCTTATGTGCTATGGCAATGAACAGTTTTCAATGCCTTAATTTGTACAACGACAACAAGTGACTATCAAACTCCAAAATTTCATATTTGTATCTATGATATTAAATTGTTAGGCACAGTAAATTTACTAAAAATCTACCTGTGCGGGTTTTTTGGGGGAAGAGTATATATCTTCCAACTCTTTCAAAACAGTTTAATGCGCTGTGGTGTTACCGAATTTCCTATGATCCATCACCTGCTTGTCTGGTTTATTTACATGCCGCCGTCGCATGGCATGAGTACTGCTGGTCGGTGTCGGGCAATAAACGCATACATTTTACTGCAGCTGTGTGTGTGGCGATTGACACTGATAGGTAAGGGCGTGCTTACCCTTTTCGCAAAAACAGTGATCTATTTATATCATTTTCACCGCTATTTATGCCTTTTACGCCAAGTGGAATATCGGTTTCGGTGGATAATCGAGACTGGTTGTTCTCTGACGCTTATATTTACATGAAACCATCTTACACCCTTGTCAAACTGCTTACGAATTCCTATACATGTAAACTTTTCATGTGGTGTTTTCTGATTTCGAAATGATGCCTACACTTGTGTTTGTGTTAAAGATTAAATAATCATGAACACACAATGTCATTTAGAAAGTGGTCAAATGTAACAAATGTTATATTTGGGATAACACTTTCTTAGTAAATTACATCTTCCCGAGGCAAGGGAGTTAACTGACTTTAAAAGTCACGTTTCCACCCTTGCCGAACTAGGCTGGAATTGTTCGGCTCGATCGTAGCGCCACCTGTGGCTATTACGAGTTATGTCCCTTCCATGCATCTCCTATGGACCAACCAAATTCCAGCTCTTGTATCACATGCATTTGCTTCAAACAAAATGGTGGCGCCCTGTCAATATGATCTGATCGATAATCAAGATCGATATTGTGGTAAAACGAGTCTTACATCGCGAAGTGCATCAAATCACGTGAGAACCTTGATTAAAAACATGAAAAGATTTAGAAAATATCTGTTGATCACGAGTTGGCGGCGCACATGCATTGCAAATCCTGCAATCGACTGAAATCTGCATGACACTTTACAAACCGTATTTCGATTTCGGTGCGCGATTTTGATTGGGCTATGCATAGACTCGTTAGTCCAGCCAAAACGTAACTCCATAATACCAGCCTAGTTCGGAAAGGGTGAAAACTGGACTTTTATAGTCAGTTAAATCCCTTGCCCCGGGAAGATGAGTAAAGTACAGATTCTCGTACTTTTGGGTGGTTGAGTCACGTTCGGGATTCGAACCCAAACTGCCAGAGTGAGGCAGCTAATGTGCTGGCGATTAGTAGGTTCCTCACTCTGGCAGTGTGGGTTCGAATCCCGCACGGGACTCAGCCCACAAAGAGTACGAGAATCTGTACTTTACTAAGAAAGTGTTACTCCAAATATAACATTTGTTACATTACAAAGTCAGTTTGTGAAGGTAGGTATTGTTGACGTACCGTTTCCGAATCTGGAATCTTAAAAATGCGATGTCAAGTGAATATTTTTAAGTGACCTGAACCATTAATTGCCTGTGGGCCGGCGCCCTAATGTTGAATAACATCCTGTGACTTGACTGTCGCGTTAAACAACATTCACCTCATCAGTCTTTCCTTGGGCCCCCAAACGTCACATGCGCATGTGCCATACATCTAATTCCTTTCGGCCAACCTCGTCCCTTTCTGTCACCGTAAATAGACGTTAAGATAGAGCTATCTCGTGATGCTCGAAAGGGGGTTATAGTTGCAAAGTCTGTGAGATAGTTCTTTAATTTGATATGTGATCGATTTCCTTATCATAAAAGTCTTAAGCGCTTAATTTTGGCTAAAGTTAGTACAAAATATGTTTTTGATCCACAGCAGGCTAACGTGAATTGGTCAAATACATCCTTGAACCCTTAATATTAAAGAATTGTGGTATGAACAACACTTTGTATGATAGTTACCTCCCTTCGTGGTTCCCGGATCGAGCTCCTCACAGCGATATCCCTTTCGTGGAGTTCTCTATCCGGGAGGAAACGAAGATGACACGCGCTGGAAAGGAGCTTGTCCCCGGAAGTTTATGTGTGACGTCACATGTTAGACTGTAAGACAAGATGAAGAAATGAGAAAATATGGGCTTTAATCATGACGATCAGGATGGAAGCAGACAGCTGAAATGCACCAGATTGAGTGTTCTGATTGTCGTCGTGCTTCTTGTCCTGTGTGAAGCGGTGACTCTTGGAAGTAAGTTTCCAATACAGCCGACTGACAGTGAATGAACTTTGGTCATGTGCAATATGATTATTATGATCATTATGATCATGATGGTGCTCTATTGTAAAACAACGTTTATGGTTATGTCTATTCTAATTATGAATAAGATCAAACAAATAGCTACGATTTGATGGCTGATTTTTAAAATGAAAATTACGCAGAAAGGAACTGAAACCGAAAGACCATGTTATGGCTTATCCCCATGACGTTTCTGGGGAATCCCCATGTCCTTCATAACTTTCGCAATGTTTAGAATGAATATATATAGTCACAATCTGTCAGTATGTACAGGATAATGATACTGCATTCACTGTCAGTGGTCAAACAAGCTCTCTTTACCATTCTTAGAGTTTAGTGTTTTTACTTCTTCAATCCTTTTGTTTGGGTAGGATGGGGTTGTTTCATGTCAAATTACCTGGCATCCACTTGCCTCTGAGCATGCTGAGTAATCAGAGTATAAACTGATTTTGTTACACTACCTGTATTACCTGCTTTACCTGTTTATTTCTACCCTTGAATAAGTACTTTTCATAGGTTCAGTGAGCAATGGGTTCATTCAATCTTTGGGGCAATAGCCTCATCATCTTGCTGCAAATACCTCCCCTACCCAATCAGCATCGGAGGTGCATGGTTTTGGCATACCGTATTCAACGTAATAAGCACCCAGGGCGCTCTCAAAATTAGAAATAGGGGGCTCTTATTAGAATATAATTTTGGTGAGATTAAAAACGAGGTTGAAAGATTGTAAATTTTGTGGTTTTTGCTGACAGCCTGAAATGATATAAAAGGAGAATCTGTGTGTATTATACACGATGGATATATTTTCGAGAATTTAATTGCCCATAATTAAGGGTGCATATAACAAACAAGTGCGTATTATACACGAATAAATAAGTCTTGTGTGCTTTGATCAATCGGAAAGGGTGCTAACCGGGATTGTTCACTAGCCAATGTATTAGCAAATAACGCTGTGGGCGCTTATTAGAGCAGGGCACTTATTAAGTCGAATACGGTAAGTGCAAGTTATTTAAAATTAGACTTATTAAAGTCAATAATGTGTTTGAAAATTAGATTTCGAGTATCAATGTGTGTATGTGAAATTCAATTTTGTCAGACCAGAGTTTGAGTTTGGGGACAAAAAAACAGAACACAGGTTGCCATGGTGGTGACTGTAGGCAAAGCGATGGCAACTGAATTTATATAAAACTATTTCACTTAAGTTAGTTGTAAACTTATGTCATATAAATGCAACATTTTTTAAAGTGGCATTTAGAAGTTGGTATGAATTAAGGAGACAGTTCAACTTCAAGGAGATATACAACTTCTTTATTTCAAAGAACGGAATGCTTCAGTGTTGATACTAACATCGTTATCAAGCTAGTGGTATCCACACAGAAACTGGGGTTATCTACACACTTGTATATGTAACATTGTTTGAGGTCAATATCGGGGGATAAACAGAAATATGTTCATGCAATCTGTGGTCATTGTTGTACAAAATACTTGTGTACATAACTGGACATCAACACATATCCAAACAGTTGTGGGGGGCACGGGTGGCCCAGTCGTCGAAGACGCCGCGATTCACTGTGCAGAGTTGCGTCCCTTGGGCACGCCAGAAACCTATCATTGTGGGTTCGAAATCTCGCTTCGCCCCGATTATGTTTCTAGGTTTGTCAGCACCATACCCAAGCTGATTGGTTTTTCCTCCCACATTAAGCTGACACGCCGTGAAATAACTGGAATACTGTTAAAGGCGGCGTTAAACCCAACTCGCTTACACCCAAACAGTTGTTAGGTACAGCTTTGCTGAAGGTATCTGTTGGTGGCAATAATATGCGCTTCACTGGACACATTCTCGGTATCACATGTAAGCTCTCATTTGGTGAAATGCCATTATGTCCAAATATTTTTCTATGTAACCATGGTAACTGTTATGTAAAAAAGTCATTCAGAATCAACATTCCCCTTGACGCAACCTGCTATTGTACCATGTCAGTAAAAATGAAGAAAAAGTGTACAAGTTGATTCTTGGTGCTTGTGCTCTCAGTTTCGATCTTCCGAAAGAGAATCCTTATGTACATTACATTTCAATAAATATGAAATAATGTTTTAAATGTATTTACCATGATAACAGTTCCAAATATAGACTTGACTTGGGAAATTAATTAGCTTGTAATTGTGTTCAAGATATTAGCACCGTTGTATGCATGCTAAAAGTTTCATTAGGTATTTAGGCGTGCTGTTTTTAACCATTTGAGTTTTATATTTAATGCATGTGTTTTTGTACACAAGTCAGTTGAAAGTAGTTGTGAAGATCCGGGTTAGAATAGGTCTTCAGCAAACCATGCTTGCCCTAAAAGGCGACTATGCTTGTCGTAAGAGGCGACTAACGGGATCAGGTGGTCAGGCTTGCAGACTTGGTTGATGCATGTCATCGATCCCAATTGCGTGGATCGATGCTCATGACATTGATCACTGGATTGTCTGGTCCTGACACGATTATTTACAGACCGTCGTCATATAGCTGGAATATTGCTGAGTGCAGCTTTAAACAACAAACCAACCAACCAACCAACGAAAGTAGTTGTGTTTTGAATATTTTTTGGGGGGAGGTATTTTGCGCAAATACGCTGCTTATCTGTAGCTCTGGATACACATAAGCAAATGATAAGAGAGAGTGTGCTTACTCCTTCATCAGGTGAATGAATGCAAGGGTGAGAGAGCATATACCGTATTCGACCTGATAAGCGCCCAGGGCGCTCTCAAAATTAGAAGTAGGGGGCTCTTATTAGAATATTATTTTGGTGAAAAAAAAACAAGAGTTGAAAGATCGTAAATTTCATGGTTTATGCTCACAGCCTGAAATGTTTTAACGACAGATATATTTTCCAGAATTTAATTTCCTATAATTAAGGGTGCATATAACACAAGAGTGGGTATTATACACTGATAAATAAGTCTTGTGTACATTGATCAGTCGGAAGGGGTGCTAATTGGGATTGTTCACTAGCCGATATATTAACAAATATCGCCGTGGGCGCTTATTGGAGCGGAACGCTTATTACATCGAATACGGTTCGTAAAATACAACAAAAGTAAGAAGATAACAGAGGTGGACACTTAACAGGGGAAGCCAACAGTTAATTAGCAGTTTGGTGATAAGCAATGGAAGCCAGGAGTTAAATTATCACTGATTGGTAGTAAGCAGTGATCAAATCGATGCCAGCTGGATTAATTATCCTTGAAGGGGAGATAATGGGACCGATCCAATCCTTATTACATACTGTATTTCTTCTCTCAGTTCTTGATATAACATTTATATGCTGTATAACACATGAGGAGTAAGTGTTGTATGAATTATAGAATATCAAAACAGGTCAGCTCGACATGATAGTTTATATTTCCATACTTCTTCCTCGTGGGTAGGTATTTAATTTACCGTATTCGACGTAATAATCACCCAGGATGCTCTCAAAAGAGGAAATAGGGGGCTCTTATTAGAATATTATTTTGGTGAAAGATAATTTTTGTGGTTTATGCTGACAGCTTGAAATGTTTATGTACGGCATATATATTTTTCTAGAATTAATTGCCCATAATTAAGGGCGCATATAACCATGATAACACACGAGTTCGTATTGTACGCGAATAGATAAGTCTTGTGAACATTGATCAATCGGAAGGCGTGCTAATTTGGATTGTTCACTAGCCAATATATGAGCAAATACCGCCGTGGGCGCTTATTACGTCGAATAGGGTAATACAATCTTTCTCCACTCATTCTTCATGGGAATTCTCTTGTGCAAATGTAATGAAGTACATGATGAAGTAGGTTATATTTTTTTTTGCTGTTGAGAGCCACACTCCAAGTGAACTGTGTAAGATATTGTTATGAAAATAAGAGTGACCTAGATGCGCAGAAAACAGTTTTACAAATTGAGACAAATGAGTTGTTCCAGAGAAGCCCCAGCAGCTGAAGTCTACATTCATGTGTATAGCCAGCCATGCTCCAATTCCTAGATTAGCAACATGTTCCCTGGTCACAGTGGATGGCTGGCTGTCATCTCCTGGTTACTGTCGCCTCATGCATAGTTTGTGTTCCTAATACAGTAGACTCTATGTAATCTGACACTGCTCAGGAAGGGGGAGGGCGGATCGGAGTAAACACAGTTTCATGGTTGAATGTACCCTCGGAGATTCACTTAGTTTGTATGTACCATGTGTACTCCAGTCTGTCAATTCAGAAAACAACTGTGGTTAACCCTCGTGTTGCCCCAAGCATGAAAAGTAACTTGGTTCAATGTGGATTAATCCTTGTTAAGTGTAGAATGAGTGTTTACTGAATGTTAGATGAGAATAGCAGGTGTTGGATTACACAGTCTACATTTTCATATTTTCTCACAAAACATTCATCGATAGGTTACAGGGCGGTGGGGTAGCCTAGTGGTTTGGTTAAAGCGTTGGCTGGGCCCACATGCAGACCAGGGTTCGATTCCCCACATGGGTACAATGTGTGAAGCCCATTTCCAATGTACCCCGCTGTGATATTGCTGGAATATTGCTAAACACGGCATAAAACCATACTCACTCATTTGATAGGTTACAGGTCACAGAAAGGTTGGTTGGTTGGTTGGTTTGTTGTTTTACGCCGCACTCAGCAATATTCCAGCTCTATGACAGCGGTCTGTAAATAATCGAGTCTGGACCAGGCAAACCAATGATTGACATCATGAACATCGATCCACGCAATTGGGATCGATGACATGCATCAACCAAGTCAGCAAGCCTGACCACCCGATCCCTTTAGTCGCCTTTTACGACAAACATAGTTGCCTTTTACGGCAAGAATGGGTTGCTGCAGACCTATTCTACCCCGGATCTTCACGGGTGGATTACAGAAAGGGGCGAGTGGTGATAATTGATGTTTATTATTATTATTAAGTAGTTCCTGATATGCTACCTAATTTGCATATTTAACAGATAGTGATACCAAATTTATTGGAATATAAGCTATTATTTGGTAAGTGATGATATGATCGTGTACAGAGACCTAGAAAAAGATCTATATTAAGGTACAATTTTTTAAAGGATCTTTTTCATTACTGATTATGCAAATGCACAAAATATTTCTAAAAAAGTAAAAATTGGACAAATCCAATAAAGGAAAAAGGTAATAAAAATAAATGTTGAAACTTATCCTAACTCACACTATGTATTTCTTCCTTCTTGTTTCGATCCTTTATGGAAATGTGCTTGAATAAAGTTTCAAGCCTCTAAAAAACAATTCAGCCAAACACATCCCAGGATCACCATGGTCACCACCCAAGCAAATGGGTCACGCACTATGATACCATGCTTTAGGAACTTACAAGACTTAATCACCTAAAATATTGGAATATAAGCTATTATTTGGTAAGTGATGATATGATTGTGTTTCAGATGGTTATTATATAGCAGAGGTTCAATGGACGGTGGGGGCACCTGTCACTCAATACTCCTCCTACAAGGACGTGTCACTGGTCACTATCACAATTCCTCTACATACGGAGCAGGTTTTCTGGACATTCAGAGCATTTGCTTCGGATGACAAATGTGCTGTCAGGAAGGTTAAGGTGTAAGTAGACATCTGTTATTTCATGTGTCTTATTGTCCCAATCTCATTAAAATCAGACCTTAGTTCTCGCTACCGCTAAACAAAGATCTGAGGACATCCCATTAGGGGTCACGTCAGAACGACCTTTCATCCGACCAATCAGTGCGTCGCTTACCAGATTATGAAAGTGACAGTCGGAATGTGATTTCTAATCATGCAATCTCTAAAACTTTAACATGGGGAATTCCAAACGATAGTTACGAGTTTAACGACTGAATCCATACAATGTAGACCATCTCTTAGCCATTCCAGAATGTTCTTTTGTTCAGGTTTCAAATTTTTAATCAAGAATTTGTCAAAATATTTTACGAAGTGTTGTCGCCAATTTGAAATTAGTGCCATAAAGCACAAGAAAGCTGCCTTCTAAAGGGTTATTCCATTGGTCAGTCAAAGTTCGCGCAAGGTCGGTCAGATGTGATCCGTAATGGGATGTCCTCAGATCTTTGTTTAGCGGTAGCCATGGTAGCAAGAACAAAGATCTGATTTTAATGAGATTGGTGAATGATGTCACTGGATTGACTCGATTATATACAGACTGCCCTCATATAGCTGGAATAATGCTGAGTGCAGCGTTAAACAACAAACAAACAAACAAAACAAGGAATACAATGAAGTAAACATGGTAAATGGTCATCTGTTCTTGCATCTTCGATCGTCTACTTGTATTGTCCACATGCTGTCAGGTTCAGCTGAGTAACTTTCCACAGTTCTTTTAAGACGTCCTGCTTTCCCAGTTTCCTTCAGCGGGGCAGGTATCCAGTGATCAGTCCCAATAATGAGACGTTCCCGGACTATTTCCATCTGCACCAGAGACAGCAGAAGGAGTATGTAGTGCCCTCGTCTAACGCGTCCGTTGAAGCCACGCTCCCCTCCCCCCTTTCTGGGAAGTGGTATGCTGCAGCCATCATGAATCATTACAGCTCTGACGACATCAGACAGAGGGTCAGTATGCGCTTTGTTAATTATCATACCATATTTCCTCTATAAGACGCCGGGCCTCTAATAGAAGTCGGTTCAATTGTTCAGTGCAAAAGATAGAAGCCGGGTCGATCAATTGATACAATTAATGATCCCTTTTTGGTACTTAAATTCATGGTCATAGTGAAATTGGGGTATTAATAGAAGCCGGGCCTCCAATAGACGCCGGGCCTCTAATTGACGCCGGGTCAAAGGCTTGTCCGAAATAAATAGAAGCCTTGGCGTCTAATAATATATGGTGATTACAGTTGAATTGTATAATAGGCATGATGACGGATGACAAGCTAGACACAGTTTATGGATGACAACTTCTCTACAGAGTTCAAAATCAAGAGGTGTTATAAGGTCCCAGTGGTTTCTCCTTCAGTACTTGACTCTACATGTGAAGATCCGGGGTAGAAGAGGTCTTCAGCAACCCTTGTTTGCCGTAAAAAGGCCACTATGAGGCGACTAGCGGGATCGGGTGTCAGGCTCCCTGACTTGGTTGATCCATGTCATCATATCCCAATTGTGTGGTTCGATGCTCATGATGTCAATCAATGGATTGTGTGGTCCCAACTTGATTATTTCCAGACCGCCGTCATATAGGTGAAATATTGCTGACTGCGGCGTTAAACAAGAAACAAACAGTACTTGACTCTAGGGATATCTAGGCTAGTAGACAGTCTTGCCTCGAGAAGGTGAACTTACAGGTGACTAGAATGATTTTCAGGTCACAATGGCAGGTGAGTGTGGAGGGTGCTTGTATTAGAGACCAACTTGTTTGCAGCCAGAATGAACAATGTGGAAAAGGCAGATACTCTTATCAGTATCAATAGATACACAGCCCATGTTTAAGATTGAGATGTTTTATGTCCCTGCAGGGTTTAACCAAAGACTGTACCTACAGCCTGTCTGTGATCACTGTGACGAAGGTGGTCGAAGATGTCTGGGACCTTTCCATGGATAAAAGTCACAAAATTCACCTCAGCCATGATCGAGAGAGACTTTACATGTAGGTACCTCCATCAGTGGATAGTCAGGTCAGGGAGGGCCTTCACAAGTAGGTACCTCCATTAGTGTATAGTAAGCTCAGATAGAGACTTCACAAGTAGGTACCTCCATCAGTGGATAGTCAGGTCAGGGAGGGCCTTCACAAGTAGATACCTCCATTAGTGTATAGTCAGGTCAGATAGAGACTTCACAAGTAGGTACCTCCATCAGTGTATAGTCAGGTCAGTGAGTGACTTCACAAGTAGGTACCTCCATCAGTGTATAGTCAGGTCAGTGAGTGACTTCACAAGTAGGTACCTCCATCAGTGTATAGTCAGGTCAGTGAGTGACTTCACAAGTAGGTACCTCCATCAGTGTATAGTCAGGTCAGGGAGAGTCTTCACAAGTAGGTACCTCCATCAGTGTATAGTCAGGTCAGTGAGTGACTTCACAAGTAGGTACCTCCATCAGTGTATAGTCAGGTCAGGGAGAGTCTTCACAAGTAGGTACCTCCATCAGTGTATAGTCAGGTCAGGGAGAGTCTTCACAAGTAGGTACCTCCATCAGTGTATAGTCAGGTCAGTGAGTGACTTCACAAGTAGGTACCTCCATCAGTGTATAGTCAGGCCAGGGAGAGACTTCACATGTAGGTACCCCCATTAGTGTATAGTCAGGTCAGATAGAGACTTCACAAGTAGGTACCTCCATCAGTGTATAGTCAGGTCAGTGAGTGACTTCACAAGTAGGTACCTCCATCAGTGTATAGTCAGGTCAGTGAGTGACTTCACAAGTAGGTACCTCCATCAGTGTATAGTCAGGTCAGTGAGTGACTTCACAAGTAGGTACCTCCATCAGTGTATAGTCAGGTCAGGGAGAGTCTTCACAAGTAGGTACCTCCATCAGTGTATAGTCAGGTCAGTGAGTGACTTCACAAGTAGGTACCTCCATCAGTGTATAGTCAGGTCAGGGAGAGTCTTCACAAGTAGGTACCTCCATCAGTGTATAGTCAGGTCAGGGAGAGTCTTCACAAGTAGGTACCTCCATCAGTGTATAGTCAGGTCAGTGAGTGACTTCACAAGTAGGTACCTCCATCAGTGTATAGTCAGACCAGGGAGAGACTTCACAAGTAGGTACCTCCATCAGTGTATAGTCAGGTCAGTGAGTGACTTCACAAGTAGGTACCTCCATCAGTGTATAGTCAGGTCAGGGAGAGTCTTCACAAGTAGGTACCTCCATCAGTGTATAGTCAGGTCAGGGAGAGACTTCACAAGTAGGTACCTCCATCAGTGTATAGTCAGGTCAGGGAGAGTCTTCACAAGTAGGTACCTCCATCAGTGTATAGTCAGGTCAGTGAGTGACTTCACAAGTAGGTACCTCCATCAGTGTATAGTCAGACCAGGGAGAGACTTCACAAGTAGGTACCTCCATCAGTGTATAGTCAGGTCAGTGAGTGACTTCACAAGTAGGTACCTCCATCAGTGTATAGTCAGGTCAGGGAGAGTCTTCACAAGTAGGTACCTCCATTAGTGTATAGTCAGGTCAGGGAGTGACTTTACATGTAGGTACCTCCATCAGTGTATAGTCAGATCAGGGAGAGACTTTACATGTAGGTACCTCCATCAGTGTATAGTCAGGTCAGTGAGTGACTTCACATGTAGGTACCTCCATCAGTGTATAGTCAGGTCAGGGAGAGTCTTCACAAGTAGGTACCTCCATCAGTGTATAGTCAGGTCAGTGAGTGACTTCACAAGTAGGTACCTCCATCAGTGTATAGTCAGGTCAGGGAGAGACTTTACATGTAGGTACCTCCATCAGTGTATAGTCAGGTCAGGGAGAGACTTCACAAGTAGGTACCTCCATCAGTGTATAGTCAGGTCAGGGAGAGACTTCACAAGTAGGTACCTCCATCAGTGTATAGTCAGATCAGGGAGAGACTTTACATGTAGGTACCTCCATTAGTGTATAGTCAGATCAGTGAGTGACTTCACAAGTAGGTACCTCCATCAGTGTATAGTCAGATCAGGGAGAGACTTTACATGTAGGTACCTCCATTAGTGTATAGTCAGGTCAGGGAGTGACTTTACATGTAGGTACCTCCATCAGTGTATAGTCAGGTCAGGGAGTGACTTTACATGTAGGTACCTCCATTAGTGTATAGTAAGCTCAGGGAGTGACTTTACATGTAGGTACCTCCATTAGTGTATAGTAAGCTCAGGGAGAGACTTTACATGTAGGTACCTCCATTAGTGTATAGTAAGCTCAGGGAGAGACTTTACATGTAGGTACCTCCATTAGTGTATAGTCAGGTCAGTGAGTGACTTCACAAGTAGGTACCTCCATTAGTGTATAGTCAGATCAGGGAGAGACTTCACATGTAGGTACCCCCATTAGTGTATAGTCAGGTCAGTGAGTGACTTCACAAGTAGGTACCTCCATTAGTGTATAGTCAGATCAGGGGGAGACTTCACATGTAGGTACCTCCATTAGTGTATAGTCAGGTCAGTGAGTGACTTCACAAGTAGGTACCTCCATCAGTGTATAGTAAGCTCAGATAGAGACTTCACAAGTAGGTACCTCCATTAGTGTATAGTCAGGTCAGGGAGAGACTTCACAAGTAGGTACCTCCATTAGTGTATAGTCAGGTCAGGGAGAGACTTCACAAGTAGGTACCTCCATTAGTGTATAGTCAGATCAGGGGGAGACTTCACATGTAGGTACCTCCATTAGTGTATAGTCAGGTCAGTGAGTGACTTCACAAGTAGGTACCTCCATTAGTGTATAGTAAGCTCAGATAGAGACTTCACAAGTAGGTACCTCCATTAGTGTATAGTCAGGTCAGTGAGTGACTTCACAAGTAGGTACCTCCATTAGTGTATAGTCAGATCAGGGGGAGACTTCACATGTAGGTACCTCCATTAGTGTATAGTAAGCTCAGATAGAGACTTCACAAGTAGGTACCTCCATTAGTGTATAGTCAGGTCAGGGAGAGACTTCACAAGTAGGTACCTCCATTAGTGTATAGTCAGGTCAGGGAGAGACTTCACAAGTAGGTACCTCCATTAGTGTATAGTCAGATCAGGGGGAGACTTCACATGTAGGTACCTCCATTAGTGTATAGTCAGGTCAGTGAGTGACTTCACAAGTAGGTACCTCCATCAGTGTATAGTAAGCTCAGATAGAGACTTCACAAGTAGGTACCTCCATTAGTGTATAGTCAGACCAGGGAGAGACTTCACAAGTAGGTACCTCCATTAGTGTATAGTCAGACCAGGGAGAGACTTCACAAGTAGGTACCTCCATCAGTGTATAGTCAGGCCAGGGAGAGACTTCACAAGTAGGTACCTCCATCAGTGTATAGTCAGGTCAGGGAGAGACTTCACAAGTAGGTACCTCCATTAGTGTATAGTCAGATCAGGGAGAGACTTCACAAGTAGGTACCTCCATTAGTGTATAGTCAGATCAGGGAGAGACTTCACAAGTAGGTTCCTCCATCAGTGTATAGTCAGGCCAGGGAGAGACTTCACAAGTAGGTACCTCCATCAGTGTATAGTCAGATCAGGGAGAGACTTCACAAGTAGGTACCTCCATCAGTGTATAGTCAGGTCAGGGAGAGACTTTACATGTAGGTACCTCCATCAGTGTATAGTCAGGTCAGGGAGAGACTTCACAAGTAGGTACCTCCATCAGTGTATAGTCAGGTCAGGGAGGGCCTTCACAAGTAGGTACCTCCATCAGTGTATAGTCAGGTCAGGGAGAGACTTCACAAGTAGGTACCTCCATCAGTGTATAGTCAGATCAGGGAGAGACTTTACATGTAGGTACCTCCATTAGTGTATAGTCAGATCAGGGAGAGACTTCACAAGTAGGTACCTCCATCAGTGTATTGTCAGATCAGGGAGAGACTTTACATGTAGGTACCTTCATTAGTGTATAGTCAGGTCAGGGAGTGACTTTACATGTAGGTACCTCCATCAGTGTATAGTCAGGTCAGGGAGTGACTTTACATGTAGGTACCTCCATTAGTGTATAGTAAGCTCAGGGAGTGACTTTACATGTAGGTACCTCCATTAGTGTATAGTAAGCTCAGGGAGAGACTTTACATGTAGGTACCTCCATTAGTGTATAGTAAGCTCAGGGAGAGACTTTACATGTAGGTACCTCCATTAGTGTATAGTCAGGTCAGTGAGTGACTTCACAAGTAGGTACCTCCATTAGTGTATAGTCAGATCAGGGAGAGACTTCACATGTAGGTACCCCCATTAGTGTATAGTCAGGTCAGTGAGTGACTTCACAAGTAGGTACCTCCATTAGTGTATAGTCAGATCAGGGAGAGACTTCACATGTAGGTACCTCCATTAGTGTATAGTCAGGTCAGGGAGAGACTTTACATGTAGGTACCTCCATCAGTGTATAGTCATGCCAGGGAGAGACTTCACAAGTAGGTACCTCCATCAGTGTATAGTCAGATCAGGGAGAGACTTCACAAGTAGGTACCTCCATCAGTGTATAGTCAGGTCAGGGAGAGACTTCACAAGTAGGTACCTCCATTAGTGTATAGTCAGGTCAGGGAGAGTCTTCACAAGTAGGTACCTCCATCAGTGTATAGTCAGGTCAGTGAGTGACTTCACAAGTAGGTACCTCCATCAGTGTATAGTAAGCTCAGATAGAGACTTCACAAGTAGGTACCTCCATCAGTGTATAGTCAGATCAGGGAGAGACTTCACAAGTAGGTACCTCCATTAGTGTATAGTCAGATCAGGGAGAGACTTCACAAGTAGGTACCTCCATTAGTGTATAGTCAGATCAGGGAGAGACTTCACAAGTAGGTACCTCCATTAGTGTATAGTCAGATCAGGGAGAGACTTCACAAGTAGGTACCTCCATTAGTGTATAGTCAGGTCAGGGAGAGACTTTACATGTAGGTACCTCCATCAGTGTATAGTCAGACCAGGGAGAGACTTCACAAGTAGGTACCTCCATCAGTGTATAGTCAGGTCAGGGAGAGACTTCACAAGTAGGTACCTCCATCAGTGTATAGTCAGATCAGGGAGAGACTTTACATGTAGGTACCTCCATTAGTGTATAGTCAGGTCAGGGAGAGACTTCACAAGTAGGTACCTCCATCAGTGTATAGTCAGGTCAGGGAGGGCCTTCACAAGTAGGTACCTCCATCAGTGTATAGTCAGGCCAGGGAGAGACTTCACAAGTAGGTACCTCCATCAGTGTATAGTCAGGTCAGGGAGAGACTTCACATGTAGGTACCTCCATTAGTGTATAGTCAGGTCAGGGAGAGACTTCATAAGTAGGTACCTCCATCAGTGTATAGTCAGATCAGGGAGAGACTTTACATGTAGGTACCTCCATTAGTGTATAGTCAGGTCAGTGAGTGACTTCACAAGTAGGTACCTCCATCAGTGTATAGTCAGGTCAGGGAGAGACTTCACAAGTAGGTACCTCCATTAGTGTATAGTCAGGTCAGGGAGAGACTTTACATGTAGGTACCTCCATCAGTGTATAGTCAGACCAGGGAGAGACTTCACATGTAGGTACCTCCATCAGTGTATAGTCAGGTCAGGGAGAGACTTCACAAGTAGGTACCTCCATCAGTGTATAGTCAGATCAGGGAGAGACTTTACATGTAGGTACCTCCATTAGTGTATAGTCAGGTCAGGGAGAGACTTCACAAGTAGGTACCTCCATCAGTGTATAGTCAGGTCAGGGAGGGCCTTCACAAGTAGGTACCTCCATCAGTGTATAGTCAGGCCAGGGAGAGACTTCACATGTAGGTACCCCCATTAGTGTATAGTCAGGTCAGGGAGAGACTTCACAAGTAGGTACCTCCATCAGTGTATAGTCAGGTCAGGGAGAGACTTCACAAGTAGGTACCTCCATCAGTGTATAGTCAGATCAGGGAGAGACTTCACATGTAGGTACCTCCATTAGTGTATAGTCAGGTCAGGGAGAGACTTCACATGTAGGTACCTCCATCAGTGTATAGTCAGGTCAGGGAGAGACTTCACAAGTAGGTACCTCCATCAGTGTATAGTCAGGTCAGGGAGAGACTTCACATGTAGGTACCTCCATTAGTGTATAGTCAGGTCAGGGAGAGACTTCACATGTAGGTACCTCCATCAGTGTATAGTCAGGCCAGGGAGAGACTTCACAAGTAGGTACCTCCATCAGTGTATAGTCAGGTCAGGGAGAGACTTCACAAGTAGGTACCTCCATCAGTGTATAGTCAGATCAGGGAGAGACTTCACAAGTAGGTACCTCCATTAGTGTATAGTCAGGTCAGGGAGTGACTTTACATGTAGGTACCTCCATCAGTGTATAGTCAGGTCAGGGAGAGACTTCACATGTAGGTACCTCCATCAGTGTATAGTCAGGTCAGGGAGAGACTTCACAAGTAGGTACCTCCATCAGTGTATAGTCAGATCAGGGAGAGACTTCACAAGTAGGTACCTCCATCAGTGTATAGTCAGACCAGGGGGAGACTTCACAAGAAGGTACCTCCATTAGTGTATAGTCAGACCAGGGAGAGACTTCACAAGTAGGTACCTCCATTAGTGTATAGTCAGGTCAGGGAGAGACTTCACAAGAAGGTGTTTCTGTATTTTTGTAGTATTTCACAAACTTTATCATAAACTTGAATTGGCAAGATGACGATGTGAAGCAAGCCTCAGAGTGAGTGAGTGAGTTTGATTTTACGCCGCTTTTAGCAATATTAGGCAGGGGACGCCAGAAATGGGCTTCACACATTGTACCCATGTCGGGAATTGAACCTGGGTCTTCGGCGTGACGAGCGAACGCTTTAACCACTAGGCTACCCGACCGCCCCAGCAGGCCTCGGAAGTCAAGAAATAGGAATTAGGGTTGACTTATTTTCCTCTCATCCTCTCATCCAGGTTCAGAGCGCCGGACTTCACAGTGCTGTATGATATACAGATCAGTGGTTGCGAGACGACGCAGGGCAACACCACTCAGGCCATCTCACCATGCCCCATCAGCTTCGTGCTCTCCAACGAGGTGGTTCCCTCCAACACCTCCGTCACTGTCAACTGCAGCGTCAGCAACAGCTCGTGCATCTACCCCATGACATCACCTCCCATTCTGGAGCCCACTTACATCAAGTTCATTCGGAACCCAGCATTGCCTGAAGTGAAGACTTTGTCATTTATTCTTCATTTTATGACTTATGGTGAGTGATTAGAGTGAGTGAGTGGGTTTAACGCCGCTTTGAACGGTATTCCAGTTATATCCAGGGATGTGAAATCTTCACCAGCATAGGTTTTCGGACATCATACGTTTTCTATCACGAATACTTGCACTATAACGTGGGGTGTGGCGTCACACAGAAATTGTAAATACTCAGAGTCAGCTGATGGCTTGTTTTTAAGATAAAGTTGTCTTTTAGCCTGTAAGTGAATGAGATGTTTTACAGTTGTTCATGTGATTAGCGAGAAAACTATGAATGTTTCTTCAGCGTCCAAAACCCCATAACATGGGGATATATGTTGTATTAATGTCTTATGTTTGCAATGGAGTTTTGTTTTTTTCACCAAAAGGTAAGTACAAGGTAAGTTTTTTTTCAATATGCTTCAACATGGGGAAAGGGTCAGACATTGCACGCTGTGACAGTTGTCCTTGTGTCTAGGGGATGGGGGTTGAAGTTTATGGCAGTATTGCTCCCAGACCTGGCGGGTAGCCCGGGGCACGAAAGCTATGCCCGATTTTTTAAAAGTACTGATTTAACTTCGAAATTTTACTGCATCTGCCATCCTGTTTATTTGACTTATTGACTCTCGCCATTGACTTATTACATTTCTTGGTGTGAATGTTGTCCTAACTGCACGAAATTGCTTAAAATGCAATCAAATGTTTAAAAAATTTCTGTGGGGGGGGGGGGGGGGCATGCCCCCAGACCCCCCTAGACTTTTCCTCTTTTTTTTCGGGAAAACCTGCCCACATCCCTGTATATCAGGATGTGCCAGCTTAATGTTGGAGGAAAGCCCGTTGTTACGCAGTGTTTTTCGAACTGACTTTATTTTCACAAAGCTTTGCTATACATAGGCAATTTCACGTGCCGCACGATTTACACGAACTACAAAATCCGCGAAGCACTCAGCGTTCGCACGAATGCTCCTAGTTAACTCCCAGTGGTATTCCCAGCGAACATTTCATGTTCCTGGCTATAGTTCTCCAGAACATTCCCCCCTACAAATGATAGATCCCAGTCTATCATTTCTAATAGTAGCTATCCATCACAACATAGTATATGTACATACATGAAATAATATGAGACTAGATTGTTCATAAAAAAGTCCACACATGTCCTGAAAAACAAAGCAGTCATTTCAACGTCCACATCTCTGTAAATAAGAAATATTCCACTTGAAAGTATGTCAATTCACTGGTAAGTATAATGTTCATTGTTAAAAAGAACACATCCTGTTTTACAAAATGAAAAATATTAATGTTTCAGTCACTCGAAATACTTCCTTGAATGTTCATCCTTGAATAACATCTTCTATACATGACCTCTTCTGTCAATCCTCCATTCACGAATTCTTCTATCCATTCCTCGAATCCTTCTGCTGTTCTTTGAATCCTCCATTCACGAATTCTTCTATCCGTTCCTCGAATCCTTCTGCTGTTCCGTTCCGTTCTTGAAGCCTTCTCCAGCTGCAGTTCCTGAAACATTCCATTCCAGTGGACACACTTTTGTCACTGGTCTTGTGACAACACCCTTACTTGTCTGTATGTCAACGACTCGAACGTGTCCATCTCTTCCAGGATGTGTCTTTATGATTCGTCCGGTGATCCAACTGCCTCTAGGTGACTGAGGGGAGACAACCAGAACGACGTCATCTACTTCAAGATCACGGTTTGGTATAAACCATTTCTTCCTTGCTTGTAGAGAAGGAAGCCATTCAGACATCCACCGTTTCCAAAAGTGGCGTACAAGTTCTTGCACTCTTCGCCAACGTTTTTTCGGATTGAACCCTGTCTTATCAACCGACTCAGGAGCAAATATTCCACCCATCTGACCATGAAGAAAGTGATTAGGAGTTAGTGGAACGTCATCATGTGGATGTGTACTTTGGTAAGTTAAAGGCCTTGAATTGATCAGTGATTCAGCTCCGGTAAAGGCAGTCACAAGTTCTTCGTCAGTGATGTCGCCATTGCCAAGGATTGCATATATAGCTCGTTTGGAAGACTTTATCATTGCTTCAAAAGCACCCCCAAAATGTGGTGAATATGGTGGGTTAAACTTCCAAGTAACTCCACGATTGGCCAAGGAGGTTTTAATGTAATCCTCATCAAGTTTGTCTCTAAGTTGTTTCAGCTCTTTAACGGCTCCTGTGAAATTAGTCCCATTATCTGAAACCACTACACTTGGCAAGCCTCGACGGTTGACCATTCTGTAAAAGGCATTCATGAACGAGTCGCTATCAAGACCGTATGCCATTTCCAAGTGCACCGCTCTAGTTGCCAGGCAAGTAAAGAGACAAAGGTAGCGTTTAACTCGCTGCTTTCCCCTACCTTGTATTGTGATGAAAGGTCCTGCAAAATCAACACCAGTTTGATCAAATGCTCTCAATGAGTATTTCAGTCTAACCTTTGGTAGTGGAGCCATGATTTGCACACCAGGCTTTGCCTTAAGTCTGCGACACCAAGAACATTCCTTTTCATATTCACGGATCTCTTCACGAGCAGAAACGATCCAGAAACGTGAAGATAGTAGAGCAAGGATCTGATTTGTACCAAGGATGTGTTTTCCATCCTCATGATATTTCTTCACGATTAGCTTTGTTACCCAATTTCTTCTGGGCAATACTATCGGGAACCGTGCATCAAATGGGAGAAAATTTGCATACTGCAGTCTACCTCCACATCTAATCAACCCATCTTCATCAAGTATGGGATCAAGTCCAGTGAGTTTACTATTTGATGGCAATTGTTTCCCACATTCAAGTGCCGATATCTCCTTGGTGAATCCCTCCTTTTGTGCACTACCTAAATGATACATCTCTGCATCACTAAGCTCTTCGTGGCTTAGCCCCCCAGCGATTCTCAAACCTAAGTCAGAACGACTGTTGTTCACAAATCTATAAACCCATGCTGTAACCCTAAGTAGTTTTTGCCAATCTGAGTGTCTTCTCGGATCTAATCTCCAACACCGGTCAGGTGTTGCCATTGCAAAGAACTGCTTTGTCGACATAACAGGTTTCCTGGCTTCAGAATCATCTAATGTTTGGTTGTTCACCATCTGTAAAGGCCATTCTGTCACATCTTTTTCTAGAAAGTCAGGTCCAGAATTCCATGCTTTGTTCAAATTAGCAACTGTTGTACCCCTAGACAGGATATCTGCTGGATTCTGAACAGAAGGAACGTAGTTCCACTGACTAGGAACAGTATTTTCTTGGATAAAAGCTATCCGATTAGCTACGAATGTTTTGAACGTGCGGCTATGGTTTTTTATCCAATATAGCACATTTTGACTATCTGACCAAAGAATCACACTAGTCATTGGTATTTCAAGAGCTTTGACTACAGTCAAGATCAACTTTACTCCTAATACTGCTGCCATTAACTCCATTCGAGGAATGCTGACTGATTTCAGAGGTGCTACTCTACATTTTGATGCCACCAAGCGACTAGACACCATCCCATTTTGATAGGTAGTCACGTTGTAGACTACTGCCCCATATGCATTTTCAGATGCATCAACGAAAACATGTAATTTCCTGTTCTCAATTTTGAAGTTGAGTTGCAAGCATCTCGGGAATCTAACAGTCTCCAACTCTTTCATTTGATTGAGCCAAAGCAATGCTTTCTGTTTCAAATCATTATCAAGCTCTTCATCCCAATCTAAACCCTTGAGCCAGACTTCCTGCATGATGATTTTAGCTTTGATGATGAAAGGAGCAAGGAATCCTAACGGATCGAATACCCTAGCCATTTCTCTAAGAAAACCCCTCTTTGTAAGTATCCAACTGTTTTGTGCACTAGTACTTCGGAAGCTAAACTCGTCATCTTTTGTCACCCACGTCAGACCAAGTGTTTTTGTAGTTGGCAACTCATCCCTACCAAGATCAACCTCAGTAGCCCTATTTTCTATGGGAATTTTCTGTAAGACTTCAGGTGAATTGCTTAACCACTTTCGTGCACACATGCCTGCCTTTCCCCACAACTCTGTAAGCTGCTCAAACAGCTCTATGGCTTCGATCTCATTTGGAAGAGAGTCTATGTTGTCATCCATATAGGTCGACTTTAATACAGTCTCAGCAGCTTTGGGTAGAGTATCTTGAAACCTTCTAGCATGTTCTTGTGATATGTACTGTGCCAAAAACGGAGAGGCATTAACACCGAAGACTACTCTTGAGAATTGGTAAACCTGTGTCATGTCATTCTGATTGTTTGACCTCCAAAGAAATCGAAAGAATGACCTGTCCTTTGGCAACATTTCTATCTGAAGATACATTTCTGCAATGTCACATACTATGGCTACCGAGTACCTTCTAAACCTGAGCAATATCTGAAATAGGTCACCTTGTAACTTTGGACCTTGATGGATACTGTCATTCAATGATACACCTTCACATTTTGCTGATGCATCAAAGACAATGCGAACCTTGGTAGTTTCCCTATCTGGACGCACTACAGGGAAATGAGGTAAGTACCATCCACAGGGTACATCTGTTTCATCAATGGACACCTTTTCAATGTAACCTTTTTCAAGATACCGAGATATGATACCATCATAAGTATCAGCAACCTGTTTGTCTTTTGATAATTTCTTCTCTGTGCAACAGAGACGTTTGTAAGCTATTTCCCAATTGTCTGGTAAAGGACTTGCATTTTCCTTCCATGGAATGCCAATTTGATACCGACCATTCTGGTATCTGATTGTATCTTTTACAGACTCAATCACATATTCATCATCCTTGGAAAGGATAGATGTCAAAGGGGGAACTTCATCAACTTCCCAGAATTTCTGCAATATTGAACTTAATTCAACTTCCCTACTGTCAGTGAAGAATGTGCCCGAATTCTGACAATCACTTAATCCTGGTATCCTACCAACACAGGTCCAACCCAATGGAGTTAACCGTGCTGTTGGTTCACCTTCGTGACCTGGGATATCCTGATAGGATCTATGCAGTTCAAGATAATCCATTCCAATAAGAAGATCTATTATATGAGGAGATTTGACTTTTGGAAACTCAATGCTGTCAAGGTGTTTCCATCTTCCTGCAAACTTCTGCCAATCAACAACCTGCATCTGTCCCGTGACCCGGGTAGTTGTTAAGGCAGATATTGTTGTATTGACTGAACCATCCAAACTCTCTAGTCCAACTTGAACTGACATCGTTTCCAATGTTTCATGTTGTCCATTGAGGACATTAACTGAAACTTTCTCTGTAGGACCCCATAACCCTAATTCTGAGGCAACATCTTGATTAATATAAGTCTGTGTGCTGGCATCATCCAATAGTGCATTAACAACAATTCTGTTCTTTCCATTCTTTAGAACTACTGGCACTGTTCTCAATGATACTAGCGTTGACTTGCTAGATTTAGTGGAAGACATTGTAACTACAGATGGACCATGACTTCCATGTTGCTTTTCACTTTCAGGAGTTTCAGCTTTAGAAACATTGTCACAAGTTCTCTTTGTTGAGTGAAGAAATCTACTATGAGTTGCGGTACAGTTATCTATTCCACAGGTGATTCTGCGTCTGCAACTATTACCTCGATGGTTAGTGCCCAAACACCTGAAGCAAAGGTTCAATTGTTTAGCAGTTTCCCATCTTGTGGGAACAGTCATTGTCTTGAACTGTTTACAGTTCCAAATATGATGACCCCTTTTACAGAGCACACACTGAGCGTTCGTGTCAGTCTGTCGATCGCCAAAGTATGAACCTGATTTGCTCTGACCTCTAACTGTAATCGTTCCCTTTTGGGAAATGCCATGCAAAGTTTCTGATGCTACAACATTAAACTCAGTTTCTTTCAACACCCACTCACGCAATGTGTCTACCGATTCTTGACGCTCTCGATCAAAGACCCATCTTTGATAGTCAGTTAACATAGATTCTGTCATTTTCTTCAGTAACTGATTATATAATGCTCCATTGCCCAACTCTTCTAGTCTGTCAGTATCTCTAAGATTCACCACGACAGTGTCTAACATGTCAGCATACCGCTCAATATCCTTGACATTGCCAGGACGAAATGGCCTAAAGTTACACACTTCCTCCAACTGTAATGTAATTTGGCGTCTCTTGCCACCATACTTCCTCTCTAATCTATCTAGTGCTACGTCATATGCAGCCGCACTATGACCTAAATCTTGTATGACTTTCATTGCATCCCCAGCTAAGTACTGACGCAACTGTAAAAGCTTGTACTCAGGTGTAGCTGGAGCCTTATGAACACAAGCCATGAAAGCCGCTTTCCAACCCTCATATGATTTGGCATCACCCGAGAAAGTAGGAATGGAAACACGTCGCAACTGTTTCCACATATCATTTCCCAAATTGTAACTTCTCGAATTTCCAACAGTTTCTGGGGAAATTGTATGTCTAACATTCTTCTGTGTGATGGGTTCTGGCCTATTCATATGACTAAATTCATCTGCATTGGTCTGCTGCCGCCGACCTAACCCAATGACATTTGTTTGTGACCTCTGATCTAAACCCCACTGTGGTTCCGCTTGCTCTACGTGAGAAGCAGTAACAACAGTAACATGCTTTTCTTTTTCAGCCGTAAATAATCTGGATAATCCTGTTCTAACGCTGCTGAACGATCTCGTATCTGCCCTGTTTCGCAAATATTCTTGAGCTCGTTCTTGTATTTCATTCCCTATCTCCTCTATCTGTGTTACCTCGCCAGTAACTTTCGTCATGCTATCTTGATCACCTATTGTGTGAAATGTTTCAGACAATGCTATAACTATCTCGATAGCCTTCAGCTGACAATCATTAACTTTGTCAATCGCGTCTCGGATTTCTGTCCGAGTGGAACGATTCTCTTCATCAATTAGTCTTTCAAGTCTATTCGTTGCTTTAGTGAATGCTGATTTGACTATAGCCTTCTTGCGTCTAAGTTCTGCTATTTCTGCCACATAGTCAGGAAAGTCATGAGCTGACTTTTTAGACCCTGTTTGCGACATGACTTGGTGCACGAGATTTAAAGAAACAGTCAACAAATAAGTTCAAAACCTGTTTGTTCTATAAACTGTGACTCAAACTCCACTATAACCCTAACTAAATGTCAACACACGACATAACATGCAACTATTCTACTAACGTGCACACTGCACCCTATACCCAGATAACACTGCTCTAAACTATCCGAAACCACGCTCTGCTACCATTTGTTACGCAGTGTTTTTCGAACTGACTTTATTTTCACAAAGCTTTGCTATACATAGGCAATTTCACGTGCCGCACGATTTACACGAACTACAAAATCCGCGAAGCACTCAGCGTTCGCACGAATGCTCCTAGTTAACTCCCAGTGGTATTCCCAGCGAACATTTCATGTTCCTGGCTATAGTTCTCCAGAACACCCGTAGTGATGCAGGTCTCAGACGTTTACCACTTCGGTGAAACCCACGAGCACGGGTATGGTGCTGACAAACCTAGAAACCAAATCGGGGCGAATCAAGATTCGAACCCACGATCATAGGTTCCTGGGTTGCCCAAGGGACTCAACTCTGCACAACCAATTGCAGCGCCTTAGACGACTCGGCCACCATTGCCCCCATGAATGATAAGAGGGCCGATTGGAGAAATATGTATTCTATTAATGCTGAATTATGTATAAATAGACAGAGCAAGAAATTTGTTCTGTAATTTGGTATTAATATCATAACTACATGATGCTGTTATAAGCAGTATTGCAGCAATATCTCGGCAGATACATTTATTAATTTTGATTTGAACGGAAAAACGAGATCTGTCTTAGAATTTGAGGTTTTTTCTGGCCATGTTACCCTGGTTACAAAGCTGAATGTTTCTGTGTTTCAGAATGCGACAAGCCCACCATACTCGTAGACATGGGCGTGAAGAACACCACAGATGGCATAGTGAGATACTCACCCTACAGGCAAGAACGTCCAACAAGGAAAGCAAAATGTGTAACGTCTAATTCTTTAGGCCGATATAAGATTGCACCGATAGACTTCTCAGGAGTGTTTGTGATCCACAACTATGGGGAGCTGCCTATCCCACAGAACCAGATTCTCTTATCAAGCCAGTGGTCGTTCTCCACCAGCTTCAACCTGGACGAAGTGGAAGACACAGGCGGCACGCTCAAGATCAGCCTGGCTGTCCTCGAGGATCGCGCAGTGAGTGCATGCTGGGATATGTTACTTATATGTATGCTACTTGGGATTTATCAAGGTGTTCTCTAGCACTCTCCTACCCAGAGTTCCATGTGGCCGGCAGCCAGCTAGCATAGTACCTCTGCCACAGGCCAGCGCCATGTGACGATTCGTCACATCTTTCACAGTCCATTCAAGATATTGCATATGCTTTTCATCCGTTTCATGTTTGACAAGTCTACACATTTTCATAAACAAATGTCAAAGAATGGTTAACTTTCATTGAGAAAGTATGCAAATACGTAAAAATCTACTTGTTTTTGCGTAGTTATCCTATGTTTACATTGGTTGTACGGCTCCACGTGCTGTCATCGAAGCGCAACAGAGAGCTAGCGACACGGTCACTTTGATGCATAAATATATATTGTCATGCAACTCACTGTCGCAGTTGTAGTAGCATATCTATATAGTTATGCAAAACAATATGTAAAGCGCCCCCAAATACTTACATTAGTCCGTTCTATACTGGTTTCTGAAAAGGCGCGTTTGTTTACAAACAAGAGAAAAGTCTGGTCACGTGATATGCAAATTAGCCTGTGGCAGTGGTGTTATGCTGAGTCACCACTGCGACGGAGTGTGGTTCTCTAGGTCTCAGCTCTAGGCCAAATCTTGGTTAATTGCCAGAGGGTTGTGACAGTGCGCAAGTAAACGGAAGTAACTGCATGCTATTTTGGATCACATTGTTTTTAGTATTAGGATTTTTATTTGTTTTGGAAAATGGAAATAAAACCAAAACGTGTGGCAGACTTTATGATGATGCAGGCGGTACCTGAGAACCAAGATTATAAAGAGAATCTTACCCGAGTGCCTTTTGAAATCAAATATATCAACACAAGTTGATAAAAGGGGAAAAACTCCAAGTCTTGCCGAGGATTTTTTCCACTTTTATCAGTGAGTGTTGATGTATTTGATATCAAAAGATACTAGGGTGAGATTTTATTTATCATCCAACATCATTCTCCCAACTTTTTCTGTTTGTTGACAGTAATAAGCAGTGTCTTAAGTGTAGAAAGTACTGCTAACAGCTTCAGTAGCAGAGCCATTAGTGATGTCATTTGATTGTGACGTCATGGTAACCAATGGCGTCACAATGGTCTGCAAAGCATTGTGATGCAATTTCATCGCAGCAATATCTACAATGTAGCGATATCTCATGTGGGAGCCAGTTTTGGATGATAATATGTTTTTTAAGGCTAAATGTTCTCCTCCTGACTTGATTGAGGTGGTAATTACAAATAACATCCATGCCCCATGAGTGAATACCCTGATAGTGTCTGAAGTGTTGCCATGGTTATCATCTGTTCCTGCAACAGCACCTGATTGAAGGCTACAGGATCTGGCTGTGCTTGATGAAGGGGCGTGTCCCCTACAAGGAGACGCTTCTGGGGTGTCCAGATGGTGCTCTGATGACTGTCAACACAACATCGGAGGAGAACTCATCTGCCATGCTGTACATTCCCTACCCAGAGGCTGGGCAGTGGTACCTCTCCTTACAGACTGCCTGCTACAATCTCTCACATCCACAGTAGGTACCTGTCTCCTTACAGACTGCCTGCTACAATCTCTCACATCCACAGTAGGTACCTCTCTCCTTACAGAACACCTGCTACAATCTCTCACATCCACAGTAGGTACCTGTCTCCTTACAGACTGCCTGCTACAATCTCTCACATCCATAGTAGGTACCTCTCTCCTTACAGAACACCTGCTACAATCTCTCACATCCACAGTAGGTACCTGTCTCCTTACAGACTGCCTGCTACAATCTCTCACATCCATAGTAGGTACCTCTCTCCTTACAGAACACCTGCTACAATCTCTCACATCCACAGTAGATACCTGTCCTTACAGACTGCCTGCTACAATCTCTCACATCCACAGTAGGTACCTGTCCTTACAGAACACCTGCTACAATCTCTCACATCCACAGTAGGTACCTGTCCTTACAGAACACCTGCTACAATCTCTCACATCCACAGTAGGTACTTGTCCTTACAGAACACCTGCTACAATCTCTCACATCCACAGTAGGTACCTGTCCTTACAGAGTGCCTGCTACAATCTCTCACATCCACAGTAGGTACCTGTCCTTACAGAACACCTGCTACAATCTCTCACATCCACAGTAGGTACCTGTCCTTACAGACTGCCTGCTACAATCTCTCACATCCACAGTAGGTACCTGTCCTTACAGAACACCTGCTACAATCTCTCACATCCACAGTAGGTACCTCTCCTTACAGAGTGCCTGCTACAATCTCTCACATCCACAGTAGGTACCTGTCCTTACAGACTGCCTGCTACAATCTCTCACATCCACTGTAGGTACCTGTCCTTACAGAACACCTGCTACAATCTCTCACATCCACAGTAGATACCTGTCCTTACAGACTGCCTGCTACAATCTCTCACATCCACAGTAGGTACCTGTCCTTACAGAACACCTGCTACAATCTCTCACATCCACAGTAGGTACCTGTCCTTACAGAACACCTGCTACAATCTCTCAAATCCACAGTAGGTACTTGTCCTTACAGAACACCTGCTACAATCTCTCACATCCACAGTAGGTACCTGTCCTTACAGAACACGTGCTACAATCTCTCACATCCACAGTAGGTACCTGTCCTTACAGAGTGCCTGCTACAATCTCTCACATCCACAGTAGGTACCTGTCCTTACAGAACACCTGCTACAATCTCTCACATCCACAGTAGGTACCTCTCCTTACAGAGTGCCTGCTACAATCTCTCACATCCACAGAAGGTACCTGTCCTTACAGAACACCTGCTACAATCTCTCACATCCACAGTAGGTACCTGTCCTTACAGAACACCTGCTACAATCTCTCACATCCACAGTAGGTACCTCTCCTTACAGAGTGCCTGCTACAATCTCTCACATCCACAGTAGGTACCTCTCCCTACAGAGTGCCTGCTACAATCTCTCACATCCACTGTAGGTACTTGTCCTTACAGACTGCCTGCTACAATCTCTCACATCCACAGTAGGTACCTGTCCTTACAGAACACCTGCTACAATCTCTCACATCCACAGTAGGTACCTCTCCCTACAGAGTGCCTGCTACAATCTCTCACATCCACTGTAGGTACTTGTCCCTACAGAGTGCCTGCTACAATCTCTCACATCCACAGTAGGTACCTGTCCTTACAGACTGCCTGCTACAATCTCTCACATCCACAGTAGGTACTTGTCCTTACAGAACACCTGCTACAATCTCTCACATCTACAGTAGGTACCTGTCCTTACAGAACACCTGCTACAATCTCTCACATCCACAGTAGGTACCTCTCCCTACAGAGTGCCTGCTACAATCTCTCACATCCACTGTAGGTACCTCTCTCCTTACAGAACACCTGCTACAATCTCTCACATCCACAGTAGGTACCTCTCTCCTTACAGACTGCCTGCTACAATCTCTCACATCCACAGTAGGTACCTGTCCTTACAGAACACCTGCTACAATCTCTCACATCCACAGTAGGTACCTGTCCTTACAGAACACCTGCTACAATCTCTCACATCCACAGTAGGTACCTCTCCTTACAGAACACCTGCTACAATCTCTCACATCCACAGTAGGTACCTCTCCTTACAGAACACCTGCTACAATCTCTCACATCCACAGTAGGTACCTCTCCTTACAGAACACCTGCTACAATCTCTCACATCCACAGTAGGTACCTCTCCTTACAGAGCACCTGCTACAATCTCTCACATCCACTGTAGGTACTTGTCCTTACAGAACACATGCTACAATCTCTCACATCCACAGTAGGTACCTCTCTCCTTACAGAACACCTGCTACAATCTCACATCCACAGTAGGTACCTCTCCTTACAGAACACCTGCTACAATCTCTCACATCCACAGTAGGTACCTCTCTCCTTACAGAACACCTGCTACAATCTCTCACATCCACAGTAGGTACTTGTCCTTACAGAACACCTGCTACAATCTCTCACATCCACAGTAGGTACCTCTCTCCTTACAGAACACCTGCTACAATCTCTCACATCCACAGTAGGTACCTCTCCTTACAGAACACCTGCTACAATCTCTCACATCCACAGTAGGTACCTGTCCTTACAGAACACCTGCTACAATCTCTCACATCCACAGTAGGTACCTCTCCTTACAGAACACCTGCTACAATCTCTCACATCCACAGTAGGTGCCTCCCCTTACAGAGTGCCTGCTACAATCTCTCACATCCACAGTAGGTACCTCTCTCCTTACAGAACACCTGCTACAATCTCACATCCACAGTAGGTACCTCTCCTTACAGAACACCTGCTACAATCTCTCACATCCACAGTAGGTACCTCTCTCCTTACAGAACACCTGCTACAATCTCTCACATCCACAGTAGGTACCTTTCCTTACAGAACACCTGCTACAATCTCTCACATCCACAGTAGGTACCTCTCCTTACAGAACACCTGCTACAATCTCTCACATCCACAGTAGGTACCTGTCCTTACAGAACACCTGCTACAATCTCTCACATCCACAGTAGGTACCTGTCCTTACAGAACACCTGCTACAATCTCTCACATCCACAGTAGGTACCTCTCTCCTTACAGACTGCCTGCTACAATCTCTCACATCCACAGTAGGTACCTGTCCTTACAGAACACCTGCTACAATCTCTCACATCCACTGTAGGTACCTGTCCTTACAGAACACCTGCTACAATCTCTCACATCCACAGTAGGTACCTGTCCTTACAGAACACCTGCTACAATCTCTCACATCCACAGTAGGTACCTCTCCTTACAGAACACCTGCTACAATCTCTCACATCCACAGTAGGTACCTCTCCTTACAGAACACCTGCTACAATCTCTCACATCCACAGTAGGTACCTCTCCTTACAGAGCACCTGCTACAATCTCTCACATCCACAGTAGGTACCTCTCCTTACAGAGCACCTGCTACAATCTCTCACATCCACTGTAGGTACTTGTCCTTACAGAACACCTGCTACAATCTCTCACATCCACAGTAGGTACCTCTCTCCTTACAGAACACCTGCTACAATCTCACATCCACAGTAGGTACCTCTCCTTACAGAACACCTGCTACAATCTCTCACATCCACAGTAGGTACCTCTCTCCTTACAGAACACCTGCTACAATCTCTCACATCCACAGTAGGTACCTCTCCTTACAGAACACCTGCTACAATCTCTCACATCCACAGTAGGTACCTGTCCTTACAGAACACCTGCTACAATCTCTCACATCCACAGTAGGTACCTCTCCTTACAGAACACCTGCTACAATCTCTCACATCCACAGTAGGTGCCTCCCCTTACAGAGTGCCTGCTACAATCTCTCACATCCACAGTAGGTACCTCTCCTTACAGAGCACCTGCTACAATCTCTCAAATCCACAGTAGGTACCTGTCCTTACAGAACACCTGCTACAATCTCTCAAATCCACAGTAGGTACCTGTCCTTACAGAGCACCTGCTACAATCTCTCACATCCACAGTAGGTACCTGTCCTTACAGACTGCCTGCTACAATCTCCTTCTTATTGGCTATTGCCCCCGTGAAGATCCGGGGTAGAATAGGTCTTCAGCAACCCATGTTTGCTGTAAAAGGCGACTATGCTTGTCGTAAGAGGCGACAAACGGGATCAAGTGGTCAGACTGGCTGACTTGGTTGATGCATGTCATCGATCCCAATTGTATGGATCAATGCTCATGTTGTCAATCACAGGATTGTCTGGTCCAGGCTGAGTGGGGCGTTAAACAACAAACAAACAAACAAACAAAACAAACAAACAAATCATACCAATAGTCGTCAAGAGATGGTACTAGTTATAACCCTCCCTGGCCCTCTGCGTTCAGAGGATAAGTCAAGGATAAGTTGTCTCAGCTCGGCTCGGCTCGGCTTGGCTTCACTCAGCTTAACTCAGCTTAACTTGGCTCAGAGTCAGTATACTGTCTGAGTAGGGTATTCATGTTAAACTGCAGCATGTTAAAATGGGTTAGCGAAATAAAACCAGAATTAGTCTGGACTAGTACAAGCAGCCACACACACACACCTGCATGCATGTCGCTATATAAGTGCAATAATCTTGAACGTAATATTAAACCCCATTTCACCTCACCTCACCTCACCTCACCTCACCTCACCTCACCTCACCTCACCTCACCTCACTTGCTTCTCCAAGAATTGATAAGATTCTGAAAAAGAAATTGTTGTAGCACATCTACCTAAACATGCTAAACTGTGATTGTATTTATTTTCTGTTTCAGCAAGCCCCAGGGGGGATGTTACAGTGCCCCGCTGGTAGAGTTCATGGTGAGTTTGTCCCCGTGTATTGAGGAGCGCTGCGGCCGATACGGCAAATGCAAGGAATACATCAGCGGTGTCCACATCTTCAGCTCCTGTGAATGCTATGCAGGTATGTCGTTGGTGCAGCTTCAAACGGAACTTCATAAAGATTCTCCAGGTTTTCAGAGTGATTTTTCTTCCAGGGTGCCATTGTACAATGCGATCTTAGCACTAAGGTGATCATAACTCCCATATCTTAACATAGGTTTTCAACAGTAGATGTGCTAAGGTTGTTTTGTACTACGGGCCCCTGATCCATTTTGAACACACTTCGATGACATTCTCAGAAAGAGGAATCCTTAATAAGTGACTATAATTCATGACATTTACAATACATGCATTCCTAGTCAATGAAGATTAAGATCCCATAAAAGCAATGTGATGGATGCATTATTTGAAATCAGTTTTGCTGTTAAGAGATATTTGTAAGGCTCTTATTTCAGTATGGCTGCACAGATGGAAGTCTTGCAGACTTGGGGAAACAACAGTGATTTTATTGTTGTCTTTCAGTAACCATGGCAACTTTCCTTGTTTCACAGGTTGGCGGGGGTATGGCTGCACAGATGGAAGTCATGCAAACTCGGACACAACAGAGTTGGCTATGACTTTATTGTTATCCCTCAGTAACCATGGCAACTTTCCTTGTTTCACAGGTTGGCGGGGGTATGGCTGCACAGATGGAAGTCATGCAAACTCGGACACAACAGAGTTGGCTATGACTTTATTGTTATCCCTCAGTAACCATGGCAACTTTCCTTGTTTCACAGGTTGGCGGGGGTATGGCTGCACAGATGGAAGTCATGCAAACTCGGACACAACAGAGTTGGCTATGACTTTATTGTTATCCCTCAGTAACCATGGCAACTTTCCTTGTTTCACAGGTTGGCGTGGGTATGGCTGCACAGATGGAAGTCATGCAAACTCGGACACAACAGAGTTGGCTATGACTTTATTGTTATCCCTCAGTAACCATGGCAACTTTCCTTGTTTCACAGGTTGGCGGGGGTATGGCTGCACAGATGGAAGTCATGCAAACTCGGACACAACAGAGTTGGCTATGACTTTATTGTTATCCCTCAGTAACCATGGCAACTTTCCTTGTTTCACAGGTTGGCGTGGGTATGGCTGCACAGATGGAAGTCATGCAAACTCGGACACAACAGAGTTGGCTATGACTTTATTGTTATCCCTCAGTAACCATGGCAACTTTCCTTGTTTCACAGGTTGGCGGGGGTATGGCTGCACAGATGGAAGTCATGCAAACTCGGACACAACAGAGTTGGCCATGACTTTGCTGTTGTCTCTCAGCAACCTCTTCTTCATCCCTGGCATCATCGTGGCTCTTCATCGACGCTACTTTGTGGAAGCGTTGGTCTACTTATTCAACATGTTTTTTTCAACAGTGAGTTGAGACGTTTTGGTTGCCTTCAGTTAATGAGATCTAAATTTGGCACAAACTTTTAATTTGGCATTAGACTTGGCTATGGACATATAAAAAAACACAGCTGGGAGCAAAAGAGAATGTCACTTCCAAAAACAGACCAAGCCATCTGTCACTTGGGAGCTGCAATTTTTATCCTGTCAGTAACTAGAAAGGGATTATCCTTCATGAAATAATGAATGTTTTACTAAATATTTCTGACCTGTTAAGGCCATGTATTACAAGGGTTGTTGCCTTGTCTGTGTCCTCTCACATGTAGGGGAATGGCTGAGCGAGTGATTGCTCTTTGTGGTGCAGAGTTGCACCCTTTAGTTGTTCCAGGATCTGCTGATTTGGAGTTCAACTCCCAGACTCACCCAACAGTTGGTTAATGTCCACCACCTCAATCACTTTGGGATTTCGAATCACTGTGATATAGGTTTACTACTGTTCTCTGGTTCTGTCATCTGAGGGATCTTAAATAGCTGTTGTGCAGAGTTATTTCCCTTTCTCTTGCCAGAATCCACTGATTGTGGAATCTCAGCCTTGATTATGATCTTTGGTTTTGGCAGCACCATTCCCAAGCTGTTGGGTTTTGCCAAAGCAGTGAACGTCTCAGATCTATTTCACTTCAGTCTTTCCTCTGAGATCAAGCTGAAACGCCAACTTGTAACTCAGATACTGGGATACAAAGTTGCATTAAACTCACGCCTTGCTCTAAATCTGTTTCCGTGTTAAGTTTGGCCACACTTTCCACAACAGCAAGATCTACATCCTGTGCATCATGAACTATGACACACTCACTCACTCACTCACTCACTCACTCTTGCACCCACTCACTCACTCACTCACTCACTCACTCACTCTTCCACCCACTCACTCACCCACCCACTCACTCACCCACCCACCCACTCACTCACTCACTCACTCTTGCACCCATTCACTCACTCACTCACTCACTCATTCACACTCACTCACTCACTCACTCACTCACTCTTGCACCCACCCACTCACTCACCCACTCACTCACTCACTCTTGTTTCTGTGTACAGTTCTACCACGCCTGTGACAGCAGCAAGATCTACATCCTGTGCATCATGAAGTATGACACCCTCAGCTACGCTGACTTCATGGGCTCCATCATGTCCTTCTGGATGACGCTGATGGCGATGTCGCGCCTGCATCCACAGCTACGCTCGCTGCTGCACATGCTGGGAGTGCTCTGCATCTCTGTAATGATGGACTTCGACAGACACGGCCTGTGGGAGTCCGTCCTGCCCATTGGTGGGGGCATTTTGATACTACTTATTTCATGGGTGAGATATGTTTGAATTGTATTGACTATGAAAGTGCCATGGAACTTTGGATGTTGCTGTCACAATATGCTACTCCTCTCTGGGGATTCCAGGTAGGAAGTAGTCCCCAGCATCTTATGCTTGTCATAAGAAATGGATCGTCCCTTGAAGATCCAGGTTAGAATAGATCTTCAGCAACCCATGCTTGCTGTAAAAGGCGACTATGCTTGTCGTAAGAGGCGACTAACGGGATCGGATGGTCAGGCTCGCTGACTTGGTTGATGCATGTCATCGTATCCCAATTGCGTAGATTGATGCTCATGATGTCAATCACTGGATTTTCTGGTCCAGTCTCGATTATTTACAGACTGCCATCATATAGCTGGAATATTGCTGAGAGCGGCGTTAAACAACAAACAACAACAACCAAATGGATCAGGTGGTCAAGCTGTTACTTAGTTGTTATGCTCACAAAATCAATCTCTGGATTGTCTGGTCCAGACTCAATTATTTCCAGGCAGTCGTCACATAGCTGGAATATTGCCGAGTGTGGCGTTGAACATACAACAAACAAACATCATATGCTTCTGTATTCTACTCCTAGGCGTATCGGGGCGGTCGGGTAGCCTAGTGGTTAAAGCGTTCGCTCGTCACGCCAAAGACCCGGGTTCGATTCCCGACATGGGTACAATGTGTGAAGCCCATTTCTGGTGTCGCCCGCCGTGATGTTGCTGGAATATTGCTAAAAGCGGCGTAAAACCATACTCACTCACTCACTCACTCCTAGGCGTATACCATGGGGTTCTGGGTATGTTTGTCAATGGAGGTGACCTTAATGCATTGGGAGTCAGACTCAGTGACTCCTGCGTGGATGTCTTGTACGAATGAAACAGTACTGTTGGAGAGGGTCCTATTTTTGGCCTGATCAGAACAATACCAAAGTCACTTTTAAGAAATGTAAAGGTATGAAACTTTTCAATCTCATTAAAATCAGATCTTAGTTCTCGCTATCGCTTAAACACAGAACTGAGGACATCCCATTACGGGTCACGTCAGACCGACCTTGCGCGAATTTTGACAGACCAATGGAAAGACTGACAAGAAGTTGACATTAGCCAATCAGAAGACAGCTTTCTCGTGCTTTACAGCACTGATTTCAAATTGGCAACTACGCTATTTTGACAAATTCTTGACTAAAAATTTGAAACCTGAACAAAAGAACATTCTGGAATGGCAAATATGTGGTCTAGATTGTACTGATTCAGTCGTTAAACCCGTAACTAGTGTTCGGAATACCACGTGTTAAAGTTTTCGACATTGCATGATTAGAAATTACATTCCGACTATCACTTTCATGATCTGGTAAGCGACGCTCTGATTAGTCGGATGAAAGGTCGTGACCCCTCATGGGATGTCCTCTTTGTTTAGCCCTAGCAAGAACCAAGATCTGATTTTAATGAGATTGGAAACTTTTTTGATGATAAATAATTGATTACAACCAAACATTAAGTATGTAATGATCATTGTGTTATTGCCAATAACCATAGCCTTCAGTAGAAGGTCAAGGTCACTGAGATGACACTATAGGGAGACAGTGTTCATGAACATGTTGCCTGTTTAATATTGCAGGCCAGAGTCTGGTTCAAGCGTCGAACCTGTTTTCCGTCCAAATGGCGGTACATCAAGTTCCTTCTCCCAGGGTTCCTGTTAGCTGGCGCTGGGCTGGTGGTGTTTTCCTTCTTTGAGACCCAGGAGAACTATATGTACACACACAGCGTGTGGCACATGCTGATGTCTCTCTCCATCCTCTTCCTGCTGCCGCCGCGGAGACCCGTGTCGAAAGGTATAGACCTCCCCCCGTCCAGCAATGGCTCCATAGTAGAACAGTTTCAAATAGACTACTAGGACCGGAAATGTGCACCCTGACATTATGAGATAGCCAGTTGGACCATCTTCCCAAGGCAAGGGAATTAACTGACTATGAAAGTCAAGTTACCACCCTTGCCGAACTAGGCTGGTATTATTGGGTTATACTTTGGCTGGACTAACGAGTCTATGCATAGTCCAATCAAAATCGCCAATGAAATCGAAATCCGGTTCGTAAACTGTCATGCAGATTTCGCTCGGAATCTGATTGGTCCATAGAAGAGGCTTAGAAGGGACATAACTTGTAATAGCCACTGGTGGCGCTATGATTGAGCCCAGGAATTCCAGCCTAGTTCCGCAAGGGTGGAAACTGGCCTTTTAAAGTCAGTTAACTCTCTTGCCTCGGAAAGATGGTTGGGACTTGCCTCCCACATTAATAAAACATGACTTGGTATAATCATGCTAACTGATAAAGTTCAAAATGATGTTAAACCCATCTATATGGAAACATGCAACCTGTAGTTTTTTGTCTTTCCATGAAGTTGCTTTACCAACACAGGGCTATCAGAATCGTCATAATGTGGCTGTGGTTATATCATATCAACAGATGTATGAGTGAATGTTTTGGGCACAACGGGTTTGTGTTGCAAGCTACAGCAGGAGCCATGGGATAAATGACAATATTTGGCCTTTCAGAGTTTGACAATTCCATGTCCTAGTCAGTTTTCTTGAGCTTGAGATTCACTGGTTTGTAATCATTCACTTTTCTTTGTCCAAGCGAGGTTTCTAAAGGTTAAGCTTAAAAAAATAAAAGAATTGTTTCTCAGGCAATGACTTTTGAAAATATAGTGCGGGCGGGTGGTGCTTTTTTTTCTTCTATTTTGGGGGGATGGGGTGGAGTGGGGTGGGGTGGGGTTGTTCAAACTAGTATTTAACCAAATAAACAGTTGTGTTCCCTAAACCTGGAAAGGGCCTCCCTATATAAATGTATTCCTTGATGGTTAAAGTACTGGAATACAGTATTTGACTCTCTTTGGACTTACTTAAGGATTTTTGTTGTTGTTTTTAAAATGGAAATAAAATTGAAACGTGATGATGGGGGCAGTGCCTGAGAACCAAGACTATTATTTTTTTAGCCTTATTAACATTATTATTGACATTAACTAAAAAACGTTCACTTAATGCTAGAAATATCATTTCCAGTAGAGTTAACTAGTAGTTATTATTCACATTTTTGTCTTCAAGAGAGTTAACTAGTGGTTATTATTTACATATTTGTCTTCAAGAGAGTTAACTAGTAGTTATTATTTACATATTTGTCTTCAAGAGAGTTAACTAGTGGTTATTATTCACATTTTTGTCTCCGAGAGAGTTAATGAGTGGTTAATATTCACATTTTTGTCTTCAAAAGAGTTAACTTGTAGTTATTATTCACAATTTTGTCTTCAAAAGAGTTAACTAGTGGTTATTATTCACATTTTTGTCTTTAAGAGAGTTAACTAATGGTTATTATTCACAATTTTGTCTTCAAAAGAGTTAACTAGTAGTTATTATTTACATATTTGTCTTCAAGAGAGTTAACTAGTGGTTATTATTCACATTTTTGTCTCCGAGAGAGTTAATGAGTGGTTAATATTCACATTTTTGTCTTTGAAAGAGTTAACTAGTAGTTATTATTCACAATTTTGTCTTCAAAAGAGTTAACTAGTGGTTATTAGTCACATTTTTGTCTCCAAAGAGTTAATGAGTGGTTAATATTCACATTTTTGTCTTCGAAAGAGTTAACTAGTAGTTATTATTCACAATTTTGTCTTCAAAAGAGTTAACTAGTGGTTATTATTCACAATTTTGTCTTCAAAAGAGTTAACTTGTAGTTATTATTCACAATTTTGTCTTCAAAAGAGTTAACTAGTAGTTATTATTCACAATTTTGTCTTCAAAAGAGTTAACTAGTGGTTATTATTCACAATTTTGTCTTCAAAAGAGTTAACTAGTAGTTATTAATCACAATTTTGTCTTCAAAAGAGTTAACTAATGGTTATTATTCACATGTTGTCTTCAAAAGAGTTAACTAGTAGTTATTATTTACATATTTGTCTTTAAGAGAGATAATGAATAGTTATTATTCACATATTTGTCTTTAAGAGAGTTAACTAGTAGTTATTATTCTCATTTTTGTCTTCAAGAGAGTTAACTAGGGGTTAACTAGTTTTCTTCAGCTCAAAACTGTAGGTCAGCATGATCAGGCAGCTTTTCTTACATCTTGCCAAATCTGCTGAATATAAATAATATAATGTATATGCATATATATTCATACCCACCTGTTCATTATCATTGACAGATTCTGTACAACCCCTTCACAGCATAAGAGAGCAAATGTATTTGGGCCATAATCATTTGACTTTCAATTTGTGAAAAGTCTTTGGACTGATAGAACGTATGGAATGAATATTCCTCTAGTCATGATGCTGCACAGTACTGACATGAGTCCGTTTGTATAAGTACCTCAAATGTAAGACTTCATTTTACCCTCTCTCAAACTCCACCCTCTTCCCAACTTCCATAGTAAACAATGACTACATTAATGATAACAGTAGCAGTGGTAGCATCCATCACAGTGATGTGGCTTGTACTTTGCTCACTTTCGTTTGCCCACTGGAATATGACCATTGGGATATAACCAATGGAATATTATCATTGGATATGACCATTGGAATATGACCACTGGAATATGACCATTGCGATATGACCACTGGAATATGACCATCGGATATGACCATTGGATATAACCACTGGGATATGACCATTGGATATAACCACTGGAATATGACCATTGGATATAACCACTGGAATATGACCATTGGATATAACCACTGGGATATGACCATTGGATATAACCACTGGGATATGACCATTGGATATAACCACTGGGATATGACCATTGGATATAACCACTGGAATATGACCATTGGATAAAACCACTGGAATATGACCATTGGATATAACCACTGGAATATGACCATTGGATATAACCACTGGGATATAACCATTGGATATAACCACTGGAATATGACCATTGGATATAACCACTGGAATATGACCATTGGGATATGACCATTGGATATAACCACTGGGATATAACCATTGGATATAACCACTGGGATATAACCATTGGATAAAACCACTGGGATATGACCATTGGATATGACCACTGGGATATGACCATTGGATATAACCACTGGGATATGACCATTGGATATAACCACTGGAATATGACCATTGGATATAACCACTGGAATATGACCATTGGGATATGACCACTAGAATATGACCATTGGGATATGACCACTGGAATATGACCATTGGATATAACCACTGGAATATGACCATTGGATATAACCACTGGGATATAACCATTGGATATAACCACTGGGATATAACCATTGGATAAAACCACTGGAATATGACCATTGGATATGACCACTGGGATATGACCATTGGATATAACCACTGGGATATGACCATTGGATATAACCACTGGAATATGACCATTGGGATATGACCACTAGAATATGACCATTGGGATATGACCACTGGAATATGACCATTGGATATGACCATCGGGATATGACCTCTGTAATATGCCCACATTCAGAAACCAATCATCATAGTAACAATTATTGAAAGTGGTTATTGTTGCCATGGGAACATGTTCTTTGGTGGTTTGTGTCCTTTAGCATGTTTAGTAGGGAATATTATTGTATTACAAAGATGTTGATAAATGGATCCTCATCAGTGCAAAGATGTATTATGTTTGTGATAGAAACATGTCCATCTTGATCATTTTGGCTGTGTCTGGATGAACATGTTTCACAGTAATATCTTTCATACAGTCAGCTCCACCGAGAGAGTAAAGTTGGATGTGTCAAGAGGTCCAAAATAGCCAGGTTTTAAAATTCTAAACTTCTTCCTGATGCCGACTGACTTTCACCGAAGTCCGAAGCCCAAATATAATTCTTGTAAACGTAGCAAGAACATTCACTTATGTCTGTGTCATTTTCAAGACCTTGGTATGTGTATAACAAAATTTAACTTTGGAACATTCAAATGGCATGGATAATTATGATAACAAGCATATATGCTAAGTCCCTGTATTGTATTGACAGAGATTGACTCACCCTCTCATGTTGTATACATACAGTGAAGTGGAGACCTGGACTCACCCTCCCCTGTTGTAAACATACAGTTAAGTGGAGACCTAGACTCACCCTCTCATGTTGTATACATACAGTGAAGTGGAGACCTGGACTCACCCTCCCCTGTTGTAAACATACAGTTAAGTGGAGACCTGGACTCACCCTCTCCTGTTGTAAACATACAGTGAAGTGGAGACCTGGACTCACCCTCCCCTGTTGTATACATACAGTGAAGTGGAGACCTGGACTCACCCTCCCCTGTTGTAAACATACAGTTAAGTGGAGACCTGGACTCACCCTCTCCTGTTGTAAACATACAGTGAAGTGGAGACCTTGACTCACCCTCTCCTGTTGTAAACATACAGTGAAGTGGAGACCTGGACTCGCCCTCCCCTGTTGTAAACATACAGTGAAGTGAAGACCTAGACTCACCCTCTCCTGTTGTATACATACAGTGAAGTGGAGACCTAGACTCACCCTCTCCTGTTGTATACATACAGTTCAATATCTTGCAGTCACATTCTGTATGTCATTCATAGTATAGTATTCATCGGACACATCTCTCTGTTCTGTATTGAACAATTTTCATTTTAATGTACTGATCATGTTTAAACTATGTCCTAATTTTAGCAGATGAAATGACTTTATATTTAACATTGTAGAACCCTTTATCATGTTTCTATATTTTTATAAAGTTTACATACTCTTATTTTAACTGAACTCTTTGTTTTACGTGAGTTTGATAAACATACATGATTGATTCTTAAATTTGAATTATTTGTCAATATTTTAAACATTTTACCTTTCTTGCAAACATTTTCAGATTTTGTCTGACACAAGCAACGTATCGCATGTTCTATTGGCAGTCATGTCCTGGTTTTCTGCATAATCAGTAGTTTCTCAGTTAAACTCCGTCCTTTTCATCAATGGTATAAATACTTACATATGAAAATGCAAATTACGGTTTTAGAAATATCCTTTTCGAATATATTTTTGTTATCGGTACACGTGTCACCTGTTGATTGAGTTGCTGTTTCATGGTACTTGCTGTCATCATTATCACAATATCAAACATGACAGGGAGCTGAGCAGGCAACTAAGATGGCTTTGTGATGCTGGGGCCAGGTTGTGGGAGGTCCAATACTTTGTTCTCTGAACTGATCTGAGCTCTACATAGAGGGGTCTACAGTATCAGGATATCTCAATATACTGTAAATCTTGAAATTAACGCGAGCGTTAATCAAATGCAAAAAATGTGAGTGGTCATAATTAACTTTGCATTTATGTCTCAAAAATGACTATCAACAATAAGACGGCCTCACTGCACACTTTAGATAACAGAAATATACTTGAATATATACACATTAACATACATTAACATTAATTACTCTGTATATGTATAGATAAAAATTATCAATGTAGGCCTGCAATTAATCCATTTACCGTATTCGACGTAATAAGCACCCACGGCGATACTTGCTAAAATATTGGCTAGTGAACAATCCCAATTAGCACCCCTACCGATTAATGAGTGTACACAAGACTTATTTATTCGTTCCTAATACGCACTCGTGTGTTATATGCACCATTAATTATGGGCTTTTAAATTCTTGAAAATATATCTGTCGTGTATAATACACACAGACTTTTCTTTTGTATCATATTAGGCTGTCAGCATACACCACAATATTAACTCTGGGTTTTATTTCTTAACAAAACTATATTCTAATAAGAGCCCCCTTTTTCTAATTTTGGGAGCCCCCTGGGTGCTTATTACGTTGAATAAGGTAATGCTAAATCTGAACCAGGCTGATATATTAAAATTTATTTTTCCATCTTCACTGTAGTACTCTTAATACGTGTAAACAATTCTGTGGCAGGTAATCAGTAATTTAGAATCACTTTTATAAATTTGTATGGGTAAAGTATCAACATTGAAAATCTATTGCGATATACATTGAAATCTCTAACACTACAACTGTCCAGTCTCATTAAAATCAGATCTTAGTTCTTGCTGTTGCTAAACAAAGATCTGAGGACATCCCATTAAGGGTCACGTCAGAACGACCTCTCATCCAACCAATCAGAGCGTCGCTTACCAGATCATGAAAGTGACCGTCGGAAAGTGTTTTCTAATCATGCAACCACGAAATATTTGACACGGGGTATTCCGAACGACAGTTACGGGTTTTATGATTATATCCATACAATCTAGGCCATCCATAAGCCATTCCAGAATATTCTTCTTTTCAGTTTTAATTTTTTTTAATCGAGAATACGTCAAAATATGTTTCGAAGCGTAGTCACCAGTTTGAAACTTGTGTTGTAAAGCTCGAGAAAGCTGCCTTCTTATTGGCTAATGTCGATTTCTTGTCAGTCATTTCATTGGTCAGTCAAAATTCATGAAAAGTCGTTCTGACGTGACCCGTACTGGGATGTCCTCAGATCTTTGTTTAGCAGTAGCGAAAACTTAGATCTGATTTTAATGAGATTGTACAACTGTCATATGTCAATCTTTAATGTAGGAGACCTCTGATTATTATACCCCGGACATAAAAGGGAGGGGGTATATAGTTATGCCAAGGAATTCTGTCCGTCCATCCCACATTGTTTTGTGCCACCAATAGTTTGAAAACTACTTTATAGATTCTTTTCAAACTTGGTTAACACTTTCTATACCAATAGGAGAACTGCAGTGTAAGTTTGATTTCATTATTTGGATTTTTTTTTAAAATACTATTTTTTTTACTTAGAATTTTTTTACTTAAACAATTGTGCGGGCTATAACTTGAAAACTACTGCATGGATTCTTTTCAAATTTAACAAAGGTTTCCATACTAATAGAAGAGGTGCAGTGCAAAATTTGATGTTTCTGAGAAAGTATGATTTTGTTTATGTTTTTAGTTATTATTTTACTTCAACATTTGTGTGACCTCTAACTTGAAAACTACTTCATGGATTCTTTTTCAATTGAGGGTACAGTTTCTATACCAATAAGAGGGGTGCAGTGCAAAGTGTGATTTTGATAAGTGGATTTTCTGAGAAAATATTGCTTTTTCATGTTTTGAAGTTAGAATATGTTGGAGTCGAAGTCGGGGTATAAGTGTCTTTTACACTTTTAGCCTTGTCTTTAAATAGCGTCCGACCGCCTCCGTGGTCTAGTGGTAGAGCGTCCGCCCGAAAAGTGGGAGGTTCGGGGTTTGATCCCCTGCCGCGTCATACCAAAAGACGTTAAAAGATGGTACTTGTTGTTACCCTGTCTGGCGCTCAGCATTAAGGGGCTAAAACAAGGACTGGTCGGCTTGGAGTCAGTAAACTGTGTCTGAGTGGGGCATCCATGTTAAACTGAGTCCGGACTAGTACAAGCCGCCACGCAACACGTACATGCACGTCGCTATATAAGTGCAATAATCTTGGACGCGACATTAAACCCAATTTCACCTCACCTTAACTTTCTTGTCAGATAACAAATTACTTCTTTCAATTTTGTGACGTTTCCCAACTCTTAACTTGACTTTTAAAAGTTATTTTTAAACAGAAAAACTAAAATCATCGACAGAGTTGTGGAACACCATCCTATCAAGGAGTGATACAAACTGACACAGTCTTACCTGCATTTCATTCATCGAGTAAATATATGACAATTGGACCAGCTTCAAATCCCTGAAACTTGTTGATGTCAGATGGAAAATCTGAAGACTGTAAACACATGAACCAGCTCAAACCTTGGTCTCATACAATGTACTAGCAGCAGAAACATGATAATGTTTACTTCATGTACAAAGATCCGATGTTCGACTTGTAGATAACTTGTCTTTTTTATGATGATGTGAAATGATTTTTACCTTCATGTAGATATATTTTACATTTTACATTGATCTGCTTGTTTTGGATGTCTCTGCTAGACGTTGTTGTTGTTGTTGTTGCATTAAGTGTTTAAGAGGTCGCCTTCTGCCTAAGCAATTTCGGTTGACCTGTCCCTCTTTGGGTCTGTGAGAAGGGTACACATATCTATTGTGAGTTTGGTATTCACATAATTTCTGTTTTTGCATTGATATGATTATTTTCGAATATTGATATAATTTCATTTTTATCCTTGGTTGCCCTGTTTATATACGTTAGTAGCTGTCCATCTCTCAGAAATAGAGTTAGTTTGGCCTTCGCTATTGCATCTCTTGGCTTTAGGAGATCTATGACAAATTGCGGATCTAACTGCAATTCTGCTAGACTTGTGCTATATCGTTAATTATACTGCATGCATATCAGTGTGTGAATTGCTCTCATATCGGGACAGGGGATGTTAGACTAGTCATGTGAATCAATTGACATATACTTTACAGTGCTTATCTGTATGATAGTCAGGAATCTATCAGCCAGCATATTCAACATTGACAAACTTAGAAAATGTCAAAAAAAATTAAGACTAGTCAATGTCAATTATTTTTAAGACTAGTCAATATCAAATTTTTTAAGACTAGTCAATATCAATTTTTTTAAGACTAGTCATGAGGACTGTGTAGACCTTATTTCACTAGTCCTTGGAGTTTGTAGCTAGTCCTGTTTGAACGAAGCAAGACTGTTTACTATGTTTATATTACTGTCAGTTTTATCAGTTTCAATTTCTCAGAAAATTGAAACATTGAGAACTGGTTCAGAATTATAATGCTGCACGTCAATGAGGATTAACATTGAATTGTTATGTCCACAGCACATTTTAATAGCCTCGGGCCATCAGACTAGCATCAATTTTGAAGGCTTATTAAAATTAAAGTCAAGGGATGCTAAACCTCAGGTTAAAAAATAAAGATTTAGTGGGTCCCTCGATAATGTTCACCTTGATGTCTAAACACTGCACATCCAATCATTGGGTGATGTTTCTAAAAGCCCACCTTCAATGTTACCTGCCCATCTTCAATGTTACCTGCTAACATTCAGCATTAATATTGAAAAATTGCAAAAATAAGAGACAAATCATGTCATGATTCAGTTGAAATGTTGCAAAAAATTACTTGAAAATTTACAAGGAGTTATAATAAGTCTGAATATGAGAGTAGTCTTGAAATTATGTGCCAGACAGTCGGGCAGGTGGAGGAACACTTCCCGACAAAAATGTTACCAGCCACGGGCAGGTGGGCAGACAGTTATTTCGGACACTGATTTGGAGCTTGTTGACTTTATTAAAGTGAGTCAAATTCATAGATTGGCTGTGCTTTGATAGGTGAAAATCAACTTTTTAATATATATATGTTTTTAGATAAAAGTTGATAACTTCCGCAAGGGTTTGATCATTTTCTACAGGGGTAATAATGAATTTTTTTTACATGTTTTACCCTGAATGAATATTACCCGTATCAACATGAAGTATGTTGTACTGACTTGACTAAGGCTGACAGGAAGTCACAGTAACCATGGCAACAGACTGGCCTGGATTATAGTACTGGTGACTCACTGCATCTGATCCTGCTCTGGGATGAGATGCCAGCAAGGAAGTGGGTTGTAGGCAGGAGGAAGTTGATCATGAGCTCAACGACTCAGCAAATCCCACATCTTCACAGCATGTGCTTGATGAACTGTGAAGCAGGCCTCCATCGAGGGAAGTGTTCAGGGCAGAGTCCTGCTTGCTTGCCTCAGTTACTGTCTTGTGTCCCCCCAAAAGAAATTTGGATACTCTCTCAATATATTATTTAGTTTTGCTGTGACAGTCTATGTGGTATTTATGTAAGGCCCGGTAGTGTTTTTAGCTCCAGAAGTTTAATCTTAGGCTCCTCTGATTAATTTTTTGACAAGATTACAACTGGACCTGGTGGCTGGTTAACAGGGTCACCTGGGTATCAAGGTGGCTGGTTTAACAAGGTAACCTGGATATCAAGGTGGCTGGTTAAATGAGGTCTCCTGGGTATCAAGGTGGCTGGTTAACAAGGTCACCTGGGTATCAAGGTGGCTGGTTAACGAGGTCACCTGGGTATCAAGGTGGCTGGTTAACGAGGTCACCTGGGTATCAAGGTAGCTGGTTAATGAGGTCGACTGGGTATCAAGGTGGCTGGTTAACAAGGTCGACTGGGTATCAAGGTGGCTGGTTAACAAGGTCACCTGGGTATCAAGGTAGCTGGTTAACAAGGTCACCTGGGTATCAAGGTGGCTGGTTAACAAGGTCACCTGGGTATCAAGGTGGCTGGTTAACAAGGTCACCTGGGTATCAAGGTGGCTGGTTAAATGAGGTCACCTGGGTATCAAGGTGGCTGGTTAACATCGTCACCTGGGTATCAAGGTGGCTGGTTAATGAGGTCACCTGGGTATCAAGGTGGCTGGTTAACAAGGTCATATGGGTATCAAGGTAGCCGGTTAACGAGGTCACCTGGGTATCAAGGTGTCTATGTATTAAAGTAACCTGGACATCATGATGTTATTGGCCTCGAGTTGCCTGAAACAACTGGTCAAAATCCATCAACAATATATCTGTTTCACTTCTGGACAATTACAGTAGTTAACAAAATAACGGCTGCTTGGAAACTTCAAAATGTCAAAATTCCCATTTTCAGGGATGTAAATCTTCCTCAGATCTGCAAATTTAAGTGACCACAAATTTACTACAATCTGATGGCTTCCTCCCTAATCACAACCAAATCAGCAGAATCCCTGCATTTGATTCCTTGACTGGGATTTTCGAGAATAATGAATAATCCCTGCTTTCAAGCACATGGTTGATGGTGGTGGATTGATGCTGTGCAGCATGGCCATATTGTTACAATGTTTTAGTTAGATCACAATAATCATTGTATGACTGTTAACAGTCAAATGTGTTTTAGCATGGCATGTTTCATATGTAATTAAACATACCCAATGTGTCAAGGTGGCTGGTTAAATGAGGTCACCTGGGTATCAAGGTGGCTGGTTAACATCGTCACCTGGGTATCAAGGTAGCTGGTTAACGAAGTCACCTGGGTATCAAGGTGGCTGGTTAGATGAGGTCACCTTGTTATCAAGGTGGCTGGTTAACAAGGTCACCTGGGTATCACGGTGGCTGGTTAACGAGGTCACCTGGGTATCAAGGTGGCTGGTTAACGAGGTCACCCGGGTATCAAGGTGGCTGGTTAACAAGGTCACCTGAGTATCGAGGTGGCTGGTTAACGAGGTCACCTGGGTATCAAGGTGGCTGGTTAAATGAGGTCACCTTGTTATCAAGGTGGCTGGTTAAATTAGGTCACCTGGGTATCAAGGTGGCTGGTTAACGAGGTCACTTGGGTATCACCTGGGTATCACCTGGGTAAACATACCCAATGTGTCCAATAGATCAAAATCTAGCTTTAGTTAGACCCACATATCAAGCCTTTGTTGTCATGTAGGCATATTTTGCCATGCGATATAGTCCCTTAATGTTCTACACAAGTTGCTCACCGAATGTATTCAATGTTGTATTGATTGGTAGGAAATTATAGATGATATACCATATTATATATGTGTCAAACAATGAATGATTTCATAAACTTTCATTAATCATTAATAATGTCCCATCATTTCAGTGTGTTGTACAAATGCTGAATTTTACACAGTGATTTCGTTGCTCCAAAGACTTATTGTCAGCTGTGATTGTTTTGAATGGTATTTGATAATCATTTGCATAATTTTTACACAAATCGGTTGATCTCATCAACATTTATCATGATTTTAATATGACAAATCAGTAATTCATGTTGTCACTCATAGTGATTGCATTGCCATTGGGGATGGGACGATACACCAACTATACGATCCGATACGTATCACGATCCGATATGTATCACTATGCTTGTATGTGCTCTTATCTGTGGGGGGCACGGGAGGCCCAGTCGTCTAAGGTGCCGCGATTCGCTGTGCAGAGTTGCGTCCCTTGGGCACGCCAGAAACCTATGATTGTGGGTTCGAATCCCGGTTCGCCCTGATTATGTTTCTAGGTTTGTCATCACCATACCCGTGCTCGTGGGTTTCACCAAAGTGGTAAACGTCTGAGACCTGCATCACTTAGGGCTTTCCTCCCACATTTAGCTGACACGCCGCGATATAACTGGAATACTGTTAAACCCAACTCACTCACTCTTATCTGTGCTGTGTAAGCCATCTTTTTCATAAACAAGATGGCCAAATACCTGGCACACTGACGATTCACAGCTGCCAGTGTCAATGGATGAAAATATTTACTTTTTTAATGCTAATTTTCACTACTTATTAGTGTTCAGTGTAACAGCCTTTAAAGTAAACATTTAAGGTATGAATCGATATTTTTTACTTAGTGTGCGACTGTGATTGATTCTTGTATCGGGAAGTAAAATATCGCGATCCACGGATGCATCGGTGTATCGTCCCACCACTAATTGCCATCATGTATGGTTGCCATGGCATCAGTATTAAATGTTCTAATGTGGAATTGATATGCAATCAGCCAAAGATGTTATGTATGACTTATGAAATTTGTTTCATATATGATTGTTACATTTTATAAATTTTGTCAAATTGTGCTGATTAAAGTGCCAAAGTCAACCAAAATGAAAAAATGTTGTTGTCTTTTTAAGTGCAGTTTATCATCAAAATACAGATTATCTTTACGATAAAATATCAAATCTTATTTTTTAATGATTACAGTATCAAGGCATAAATGAGTTGAAAGTATTAATAGTCTACCATGCTATCCAGCATATAATATATAAAGAATGAAAGATTAATACAGTATTTTCATTGAATAATTTGATAACTATAGGCCCCGTTCCACAGAGTGATCTTAACGCTATATAGGTGATCGTAAGTCCCATAGTTTAACATAGGCTTAAGACAGTCGTAGCGCTAAGGTGATCGTAAGTTCCATAGTTTGACATAAGCTTACAACAGTTGTAGTACTAAGGTGATCGTAAGTTCAATAGTTTAACATAGGATTAAGACAGTCGTAGCGCTAAGGTGATCGTAAATTCCATAGTTTCACATAAGCTTACAACAGTCGTAGTACCATGGTGATCATAAGTTCCATAGTTTAACATAGGCTTAAGACAGTTGTAGCGCTAAGGTGATCGTAAGTCCCATAGTTTAACATAAGCATACGACAGTCAAGCTCTGAGACAATGATAAGATTTGTCATTTATCGAATTTGTAATCTGGTAGTGATGATTAGTGCACTGTTGTCAATGTTGTAAATTACAGAGCATGGTGTGGCTTCCATTTCAGAATATGAGTCCTTCAGTCTCGACGATGGATTGGGACAAATAGTGAGTCGAGAATTGTCTGCCAATATGGCCGATCCAGGAGCAATCAACACAAGAGAATCTCCACAACACCTGGCAAGCAGAAGCGGGTCTCTAGACCATCTTGTCCTGTAGGTAGTCACTGAAGGGGGTGACTAGCTACAAGGGAGTCTTTAGACTAGAAAGGGTATGATAGCTGGAGGGGTTGGGCAGTCTAGAGGGGGATGGAGTAGCTGGAGGGGTGAAGTTACTAGAAGGGGTAGGGTAGCCATAGGGGTCGGGGTAGGTGGAGCCATGGTTGGTGGGATGGGTGTCCTGGAGAGGTGGGGTGGGGTAGCTGCAGGGGTGTTGCCAAGCTCATGCTTAGGTGGTGGGGTTAGAGGTCGGATGGGTTACTAGAGGTGGATGGGGTAGCCGGAGGGGGTGTGGTTTCTATAAGGTGTGCGTAACTAGGGATGGTCGGGTTACTAGAAGCAGTAGGGTAGCCGGAGGGGCTGGAGTTACTAGAAGAGGTGATTCTCCACATAGAAAGCGCAGTTGAACCAATTCTTGTCATCCACTAGCTCACTGACAAGTATACACATATATTCTTAACTGCAGAGGGGATATTAGTAGGATCCTTGATACTGATGCTGCATATGTTTAATCTCAGGTATCTAAAGGGGCTCTCACACTTTGCCGAGTTAGGTCCTGAGTATGGACTCGAGCTGACTCGGGGGTACTCGTATGGAGCTGGTAGTGAGGTCATACTAAACTCGGGGTAACTCAGGATACCTCACACTGATCTACAAGAGCTTTGGAACTGCTCAAAACAGTCCGGCCGCCAGAAACTCTATTGGACTCCTATTGGACTCCTATGGGGCTCGTAACACACTCGTAGCGTACTCGTATGATACTCATATATGTAAAGTCTCTTCCTGAGTCCTAACCGAGTTAGGCTCAAGAGAGCTCGGCAACCACCTCGGCAAAGTATGAGAGCTGCTTAAGTGTTGATAAAGCTTTCACTATGAGACGAGTAATTGAAAGAAAGCTTATTAACCTTATATACAATCTTGGTAGTACTAACATATCAGCCACAGCTCCTCGCCTATAGCCTGATCTTAACTGGGTGTATCAATCCTGATGCAACAGATGTTGAACCTCCTGTATCTGAGTGCTATAAATGGAGTAATACAAACATATCAGCTAGAGGTTCACATCACTTAACAGTCTCACAATTTGTACAAAACATTTATGCTAACATTCATGATGCCAAAATGAATCTTTTTCCTATTATCAACCTGTTAGGTAGTAAATTGTATTGACAAGCCTCTGTTTGGGGTAGGGCCTCCGTGGTGTAGTGTCTGCCTGGAGAGTGGAAAGTCGGTGTTTGATCTCCTGGCCGCCTCCATGGTGTAGTGGAAAGAGGGTCTGTCTGGAGAGCAGAGGGTCGGTGGTTTGATCTCCTGGCCACCTCCATGGTGTAGTGGAAAGAGGGTCTGCCTGGAGAGTGGAAAGTCGGTGTTTGATCTCCTGGCCATCTCCATGGTGTAATGGATAGAGCGTCTGCCTGGAGAGCAGGTCGGTGGTTTGATCTCCTAGCCATCTCCATGGTGTAGTGGATAGAGCGTCTGCCTGGAGAGCAGGTCGGTGGTTTGATCTCCTGGCCACCTCCATGGTGTACTGGATAGAGCGTCTGCCTGGAGAGCAGAAGGTCGGTGGTTTGATCTCCTGGCCACCTCCATGGTGTAATGGATAGAGCGTCTGCCTGGAGAGCAAAGGATCAGTGGTTTGATCACCTGGCCGCCTCCATGGTGTAGTGGATAGAGCGTCTGCCTGGAGAGCAGAAGGTCGGTGGTTTGATCTCCTGGCCACCTCCATGGTTTAGTGGATAGAGGGTCTGTCTGGAGAGTGGAAAGTCGGTGTTTGATCTCCTGGCCATCTCCATGGTGTACTGGATAGAGCGTCTGCCTGGAGAGCAGGTCGGTGGTTTGATCTCCTAGCCATCTCCATGGTGTAGTGGATAGAGCGTCTGCCTGGAGAGCAGGTCGGTGGTTTGATCTCCTGGCCACCTCCATTGTGTTGTGGATAGAACGTCTGCCTGGAGAGCAAAGGATCAGTGGTTTGATCACCTGGCCGCCTCCATGGTGTAGTGGATAGAGGGTCTGTCTGGAGAGCCGGTCGGTGGTTTGATCTCCTGGCCATCTCCATGGTGTAGTGGATAGAGCGTCTGCCTGGAGAGCCGGTCGGTGGTTTGATCTCCTGGCCATCTCCATGGTGTACTGGATAGAGCGTCTGCCTGGAGAGCAGGTCGGTGGTTTGATGTCCTGGCCATCTCCATGGTGTAGTGGATAGAGCGTCTGCCTGGAGAGTGGAAAGTCAGTTTTTGATCGCCTGGCCACCTCCATGGTGTAGTGGATAGAGGGTCTGCCTGGAGAGCAGAAGGTCGGTGGTTTGATCTCCTGGCCACCTCCATGGTGTACTGGATAGAGGGTCTGCCTGGAGAGCAGGTCGGTGGTTCAATCACCTGACTGCCTCTGTGGTGTTGTGGATAGGTTGGTGGTTCTATCCCCTGGGTTGCGTCATAACAAAAGACAAGGAAAGATGGTACTTGTTGTTTCCCTGCCTGGCACTCTGCATAAGGGGGATAAACAAGGACTGGTCGGTTCATAGTCAGCATACCGTGTCTGAGTGAAATTACTGCATGGTATCTCAGTGGGCTAACACTGTAAAACCAGCATGAGTTTGAACCAATATAAGCAGCCATGCACACACACACACACACACACACACACACACACACACACACACCACACACCACACACCACATACACACACACACCACAAACACACATGCATGCACGTCGCAATTTAAGCGCAATAATCTTGAACGCGACATTAAACCCCATTTCACTTTACCTCTGTGTATACGTATTTGACATATCAGACATATTGATACAATAAAATTGTATGTTTTCACTTTCATCACTCACAGACAGCATTAAGATATTGTGAGTAAACCGCTAGAGTTATTTTCTTTGAGACAGTGGTTGGCTGAGAGCCATAGCTTGAGATGTGTTTGTGAATCGTGTTTCTGCTTGTACTTGAAAAGTACCTTTTTGTACCTTCCTGCTCCTGTTCATGCAGGTTTTTCATTAACATAATCAAGCGTTCAAATGTGTAAATAATTTTGACTAACTTAAAAAACAATTTACTGTCATCAGCGGTAGAAACTAACAGTTTTCGTCCACTAGTCCATATAATGATAACATATAGCAAAACACTTAAAAAGGGCATATTTCTACTAGTCCTTATGATACCTTAACCGTTGGGCAGTCTGGCAAGGACTGCAGGACTAGTGCCAATTTCTAACGCTGGTCATTGTCCAATTTATCGGTCAATTGTATTTGACTATCTTATTATTCGCTTCAATGATCAAAGATGGGTGGTTCTTCACTGGTATTTAATGAGAGGTTTGCCCAGGAGTCCACGTGCCCTTTGCCAACAAAATTGGGAAAATGTTTATTCAAAATTTGGAATTTGTTTGAAAGTCATTTTTTAAAATTCATAAATAGATTATTATTTCATTCAATGCAAAAACATAAAACTAAACATTATAGTCTCTTCTGGTTTAGTGGTCCTGTGGAATACAAGTCACCTTGGAAAAGCCATAACATTAGTTATTAATACAATAACATAATATAAGTTGCAGCAGGATTACCGTATTCAACGTAATAAGCTCCCAGGGCGCTCTCAAAATTAGAAATAGGGGGCTCTTGTTAGAATGTTATTTTTGTGAAAAAAACAGAGTTGAAAGATAAATTTCATGGATTATGCTGACAGCCTGAAATGTTTATGTACGACATATATTTTTCCAGAATTTAATTGCCCATAAATAAGGGTGCATATAACACACGAGTGCGTATTATACTCGAATAAATAAGTCTTGTGTACATTGATCAATCGGAAGGGGTGCTAATTGGGATTGTTCACTAGTCAATATGTTAGCAAATGTCACCGTGGGCGCTTATTAGAGTTGGGCGCTTATTATGTCGATTACGGTACTCGGGGTACATGTTTTTTTTTATGTCCCTCGTCAGGTTTGATAAAACTTAGCATGGGATGCATAAAACCCCATGTACCCCTAGTGATCCTGCTACAACGAATTTATCTTACCGACATGTTTTCAAATGACATTGTAAAATAATTCAAATAAATTCCAAATTGATAGAAAACAGCTGCTTGATTGAGCTGAGGTCAGCTTGCACTATGTCACATGACATTCATGGACTCAGAAAAAGCATGCGTCTTTTTGCTTTGAAACTCAGAAATGCACGTGCAGCTTGTAGTGCTTGTGGCGTGGTATAAAAGATTTATTACCCCGCTGAGAAATTTATTACCCTCCAGGGTGGGTGACACAGTATTTTATCAAGATCACATGGACCAATCAGATCTCATCTCCCTGACATGGAGGTATGATAACATTTCTGCTGACAATTGCATCAGATTTGGGGCCCAAATATCTGCCTCTGTGCAGGTGTAGATACGTCCCTGTTAATATGGCATGGTTAGCAATTGAATGGCCTTTTGAAACAGACCCTACAAAACAGACTGAGCATAATACCATATGTTTGCATTTTCACTTAGAAACGAGAAACCATGAAAATGTTTTTTACAATAGTTAAATGTTTAGCATGTTTATTTACCTTGTTTAAATATCCAGTCACTTTACAATGTTACATAATGTATTATCATTTCATGTTTTTTTATGTTACAATCTCTGGGTTTTTTCAGTCATTGAGATTTATGTGAAGAAATGCTTATTACCTGACAGTGGCAGTTGTTATCTCTATATAGGATAATTCTGTTATCTCTTTTCCCTGTGGGGGGAAGGTGGGTGAGTTGTCTAAGTAACTGCAATTAACTGTGCAGAGTTGCCTCCCTTGGGCACACCAGGAACTTCTGATTGTGTTTTCGAATACTGGTTCACCCTGATTATGTTTCAAGGTTCCCTGTGCTCGTGGGTTTACCAATATGGTAACCGTTTGAGACTTTCATCACTTCAATAAGGCATTATTCCTTTATGAACAGGAGATAAAAAAGAAAGAAGAGAGATGACAGAATGATTAATCGCATTTTGCAGATCGTCGGTTGTTTGTTTCTATATGGCACAGTCACATACACTGTGATTTTATGTTTTACATATTCCTTCAATGTTTGGCATTGTGGAAATATTGATGGGTTTTTTTTATCGTCATCTCTTTCCCATTCTAGAAAAGATACTTAGATATATGTTGGCCTGCCTTGTACAACAGCTTTTGTGTTTCATATATTTTCCAATAATAAAGAAAGCTTTAAAAAAACTTGATTTTCTTTTAAATGGATATCAGTTGGATTGGTGACATGTAGTGATGTACTTATGCACTCATGTACTGATTGCCTGATTGACTGATGTACTGATTGATTGAAGGACTGATTGACTGATGTACTGATTGACTGATGGAATCATGTACTGGTTGACTGATGGACTCATGTACTGATTGACTGATGGAATCATGTACTGGTTGACTGATGGACTCATGTACTGATTGACTGATGTACTGATGGACTCATGTACTGATTGACTGATGGACTCATGTACTGATTGACTGATGGACTGATGGACTCATGTACTGATTGACCGATGGACTGATGGACTCATGTACTGATTGACTGATTGACTGATGGACTCATGTACTGATTGACTGATGGACTCATGTACTGATTGACTGATGGACTCATGTACTGATTGACTGATGGACTCATGTACTGATTGACTGATGGACTGATTGACTGATGGACTCATGTACTGGTTGACTGATGGACTCATGAACTGATTGACTGATGGACTCATGTACTGGTTGACTGATGGACTCATGAACTGATTGACTGAAGGACTGATGGACTGACGAACTCATGTACTGGTTGACTGATGGACTCATGAACTGATGGACTCATGTACTGATTGACTGATGGACTCATGAACTGATTGACTGATGGACTCATGTACTGATTGACTGATGGACTCATGAACTGATTGACTGATGGACTCATGTATTGATTGACTGATGGACTCATGTACTGATTGACTGATGGACTCATATACTGGTTGACTGATGGACTCATGTACTGATGGACTGATGGACTCATATACTGGTTGACTGATGGACTCATGTACTCTTTGACTGATGGACTCATGTACTGATTGACTGATGGACTCATATACTGGTTGACTGATGGACTCATGTACTGATGGACTGATGGACTCATGTACTGATTGACTGATGGACTCATATACTGGTTGACTGATTGACTGATGTACTCTTTGACTGATGGACTCATGTACTGATTGACTGATGGACTCATGTACTGATGGACTGATGGACTCATGTACTGATTGACTGATGGACTCATGAACTGATTGACTGATGGACTCATGTACTGATTGACTGATGGACTCATGGACCCACTTACCAAAGGACTCATGTACTAATGAATTCATGTACTGATGGACTCATGTACTGATGGTCTCATGTACTGATGGACTCATGGACTGATTGACTCATTGACTGATGTACCCACGTACTGATGTACTGATTGACCCACGTAATGATGGACTGATGTACCGATGGACTCATGTACTAATGAATTCATGTACTGATGGACTAATGTACTGATGGACTCATGGACTGATGTACCCAGGTACTGATGGACTGATGTACCGATGGACTCACGTACCAATGAATTCATGAACTGATGGACTCATGAACTGATGGACTCATGTACTGATTGACTCATGTACTAATGAAGTCATGTACTCATGTACCCATTTACCCATTTACCGATGGACCCACGTACTGATTGACTCATGTACTGATTGACTCATGGACTGATGTACCCAGGTACTGATTGACTCATGTACCGATGCACTGATGGACCAATGTACTGATGGAGTGATGGAACAGATTAAACATAAGTAAACTAGTAGGAATATACCGTACTGGGCATAATGTGAATGTCAGAAACTCACTGAGTTGGGATGGCGACTATGCTTGCTGTAACGGGATCGGGCGGTCAGGCTCGCTGACTTGGTTGATGTATGTCATCGTATCCCAATTGCGTGGATCGATGCTCATGGTGTCAATCACTGAATAAATAATCTGGTCCAAACTCCATGTTTTACAGACCGCCGTCATAAAGCTGGAATATTGCTGAGTGCGGCATTAAGGACCAGTTCTCTGGACCTGCAATGCGAGTCGCGTCCCTTGGTGGTGCCAGAATCCTATGATGGTTGGTTTGACAGGCTGTTCACCCTGATTAGGTTTCTGTTTCCTTCTGGTGGGTTTCACCAAACTGGTAAAGGTCTGACCTGCATCACTTCCGGCTTGCCTCCAACATCAAGCTGATAAACCCTTATATAATTGAAATACTGTTCAATAGATAAATACTTTTGAAACACTTGGGAAATTAATAGATCTAAAAACATTTAAGCAAAGATACAAGGGCATGTGACAAAGACCGGGATAAAGTAGCGTCGAAAGATCCTGGAGAAATAAACCTACCTTTTCAACCTGAAGTGTCAACCCCAGAAACAATGTTGTGACCTCGCACCTGTAGGCTAACTGCTTAATTGTACCTGTTAAATATAATTTGGGTTTGCAGCTACAAATTCAATAATGATGCATGCAATGAGACTCCGACATCTACCTTGGGGATCTGAACTTTGTTGGGGACGATTATGTGTCATCAGAATAGTTAAACCGCTCTTACGTGAGACCGCCTTGGTGTAGTGGATAGAGCGTCAGTCCGTAGAGCGGAAGGGCGGTGATTCGATCCCCGACCGCGTCGTGTTACTTGTTCATTCCCTGCCTGGCCCTCGGCATTTCATAAAGGGGAAAACGAGGACTGCTCGGCGTCGGTAAGGCCAGCTCTAGTGTCATCAACACTTACTGGAACATCCACCATTTAAACTATTGGAGGTGGAATTTTGCTGGCGGCTACTCACTCTCTCGTACACTTATACCCCATGCTTGTCCCAAGAAGCGAGTAAATGGATCGTGAGGTCAGATTCGGTGACTTGGTATATTGCTTGGCTTGGGTGTTGCTGTTTACATCAATCACTTGTTTGTCTGGTTCAGACACAGGTATTACGTATAGCTGGAGTGCGGCGTTAAACAACAAAACAAAACAAGCTGAATATCGAATTGAAACGACCGCGTCATATCAA